CCCTCGCCTGCAGGTCCTTCCTCTCCGCCGAGTCGCGCCACCGCAGGTCCCTCAGGCCCCTGTCCTCCGACCTCCTCCCTTCGGTCCCCCGCCGCTACCCCTTCGTCTCGCGGCTCGACCTCTCGCTCTGCCCCCGCGTCGACGACGGGACGCTGGCCTCGCTCGCTCGCTCCTGGAGCTCCACCCTCAGATCCGTGGATCTCTCCCGGTCCAGGTTCTTCGGCCACGCGGGGCTGTCGAGCCTGACCGCGAATTGCGCCGGCCTGGTCGAGATCGACGTGTCGAACGCGACGGAGCTGACGGACGCGGCGGCCGCGGCGATCGCCGAGGCCAGGAACCTGGAGAGGCTGAGGATGGGGAGGTGCAAGCTGATCACGGACATGGGGGTCGGGTGCATCGCGGTCGGGTGCAGGAACCTGACCTTGCTCTGCTTGAAGTGGTGTTTGCGGGTGAGCGATCTGGGAGTCGGGTTGATCGCGATGAAGTGCACGGACATCCGGAGTTTGGATCTATCTTACTTGCCGGTAAACGCTTCTTCTCCGCAGCTGACAATGCTAGGGATGTTCTTCTGTTAATACATTGATGTCCTGTCTGAGGGGCGTTTAATTTTTGGCTACATTGCCGTGATACCGCCAGCATATAGACCGGTAACATTTCCAATTTCGGGCGACTAATCATGTAGACATTTGTACGGAGATGGAACCCGCTTGTGGAATGTTTTTCTTCTACCGTCTTGCAGTGCGTAAATATTTGAACATCTGTAGCGCTGGCTTCTTCATTGGTCGATTGACTAGTTGGAAAGAACTGTTGGTTATTGCGGTCAAACCGGTTCTAAAATAGAAATTAGCAAACCGTAGAAAGAGCTTCCACGATGGACCTGGATTGACTGTGTTTGCAGGTTCATTTTGGCGTGGACTTCTACTTAATTGCCTTGCTTATAGCTGTTCCATCTTAGCCTTGCCAAATTTGGCCGCGGGTGTGTTGACTGTTTATCTAGTGGTGGTCGTTTCTTCTTCGGATTCAACTTTTACTGAAATGAATTTTGTCGGGTCCGCTAGTCATGTATTGCTTTCTTTTTGGGAAATTAGATCACAGATAAGTCTCTCCAGCCTGTCTTGAAACTACGAAATCTTGAAGAGTTGATTCTCGAAGGATGTCCTGGTATACATGATGACGGACTTGCCACCCTCAAAGGGAGTTGCCCATCGCTGAAGGTATGCTCGTGGTTTCCGAAGTTTGTACAAGCTGCTATATTTCCTCTGAAGAATGCTATTTCTATCTATGTGGATTCAAAGTTGTCTCTAATCACGTTAGCGCAAAGAACTATGTGAATAGTTGGACAGCTGGCGTATAAAAAGATCTAGCTTTTCTATGTCCAACTAACTATTCTTGAAAATTGGCATTTGCACAGGTACTTAATCTGTCAAACTGCCAGAATGTGAGTCATGTAGGTTTGTCTTCCTTGACGAGCGAAGCTCTGTGTCTGCAGCAGCTTATCTTATCCTATGGTTCTCCTGTAAGTTCTGAGAGCCTCATGGCTATCGTGTCGTATTCTTTTTTTTTGGGTCATGTGATGTCTAGCTTCTTTTTGGTTCACACTTATTCTTCATGCTCGTTCAGGTGACTGCTGACCTAGGAAAGAGTCTGCACAAGTTTTCGGGTTTGCAAGTGGTTCGACTAGATGGTTGTATGGTTACATGTTCTGGGATGAAAGCAATGGTGAACTGCACCACGTGCCTGAAGGAGCTAAGCTTAAGCAAGTGCCTGGGGGTAACAGACGATTGTCTCTCCTTCCTTGGGCAGACACAAAGAGAATTGAGGAAGCTAGACATCACATGCTGCCGAAAGATAACATATGCCTCGATAAATAGCATAACAAGTTCGTGCTCCTTCCTCTGCTCTCTCAGGATGGAATTATGTACCCTGGTATCAAGAGATGCATATCTCTTGATTGGTCGGCGCTGTCAAAATTTGGAGGAACTTGATCTTACAGATAACAACATCGATGACGAAGGTTTTCTACTGGACTAGATCCTTCTATGCATATTTACTTCAGTCAGAGCAAAAGCCTGACATTTCACGATTCTTGCAGTGCTAATGTCATTTCGCGATTCTTGCAGTGCTAATGTCCATATCAAGATGCTCCAATCTTAGATCTTTAAAACTGGGGGTTTGCTCGAAGATCACTGATGATGGACTTAAACATATTGGAAGAAGCTGCTTGAATCTTACAGAGCTTGATCTTTACAGGTTTGTACAGCATACATTATGTAAGCAATTGATAATTTTATACAGTTGTATGAACTACAATGCAGACGTGGGTGCTTTGTCATTTCACTCGCATTGATTCGTTGCTATTCACTTGCTTGAGTTTATCACCTATCCAATGAAATGAAGAGGGAGAAAATAATCTTGACGAAAGGGAGGAACTGGAAAAATTGGATCTCAAAGAGAGAGAACATAGTGAAGATGTCGTCAAATTTCCTCCCTTTACTTATAGATAGTATGCTGTAAAGAATGAAATTCCATTATGCTCATGTTGCACCTGCCAACTATGAGTAGGAAAGTACAAATCTCACATATGTTCCTTTATAATGACTCAGTAACTTGGTTTATCGTGTCAAGGAAAAATTATGAACTTGTGATACTCATAATTTGAACTTAACAGACACAAACTACAATTTGAACTTAGCAAACGGAAATAAGGCTGCTAGAATTTTTCTATCTAGGAGAGCTATTTTTTTTATATAATGCTATGTCATTTTCTGGATTTATTCTCATCGAATTTTCTTTATTAGGTCTATGGGAATAACTGATGCTGGCATTGCCAAAATCGCTATTGGTTGTCCAGCACTTGAAATGATTAACATGGCTTACAATGAAAATGTCACAGACATCGCACTGATATCATTGTCTAATTGTCCGAGGCTAAAAGCTCTTGAAATTCGAGGATGTCCTTATGTCTCATCAATTGGTCTGTCAGCTATTGCTAGAGCATGCAGGCGTCTTACCCTCCTTGACATAAAGAAGTGTTATAATATCAATGATAATGGAATGCTTTCACTGGCCCAATTTTCCCCAAATCTCAGACAGGTACTCATGTTTTTTGTTTCCTCTTATTTGAAAAGCAGCCAATGTTGATGCCTGTGGTGTACTGATAGGATTCATTGATTCATCATTTCACAGATAAATTTGTCATATTGCTCGGTCACTGACGTAGGGCTCCTAGCACTGGCCAGCATCAATTGCCTGCAGAACATGACTATCTTGCATGTGGCAGGATTGACACAAAGCGGTCTCGCGGCTGCTCTGCTGGCTTGTAGATGTCTAATGAAAGTTAAGCTTCATGCATCCTTTAAATCCTCATTTCCTGAGTCTCTTATCAGTTACATTAAAGCCCGCGGATGTGTCTTTCAGTGGAGAGACAAAGCGTGTCAGGTATTGTTTCCCCCCTCTTATTATCAGTTGTCTCGTGGTTTGTCAACTTTTATGTGACTCATTGTTTACATATGTCACTGTCATTCGCAAAGAGCGATGCCAGAGCCTCTCACTTCCTTTCTTGTTTCTCTCTCTGAATGTGCTAAGTTAGCCAGGAAGAAGAAGACAGTAATGGAATGAGGACAGTTTCTATTTAGAGCCTCACAATTAGAGCCTCACAATATATTGCATATACAGCTTGCGCATCAATGTGGATTCGATAAAAATTACCAGCACTAATTACCCTTTTCTTTTCACTATGATCAGAGAATTGGTATACTGTACTTTAAGTGAGAATAAAAAGCAGAAAGAAGCAAAATCTGTGAGAACATTTCATATCACTCTACATGAAGAAAACAATAACACGTTCTAACGGGTAAAGGGTATGCTGAAGCTGTTGATCTGCTTGGACAGGTGGAAATGGATCCGAAAGGGTGGAAGCTGCATTTGTCGAAGAGTCTTTAGGATGCTTGATAATTTTATTTAGCTTCTCCTTGTTGAAGTGTATGCCTTTGTTGTCTGTGGGAGGAACACGATGAACGTCATGCTTGATGCTTGCACACTATGAATGTTTCATTTGCGGAGGAAACTTTTCATTCTTGATGCTTATACTCCCAGACTTCTCGCTTGACTATGTTTGATCCTTTGTCTGGTAGTTGTCACTCCGATTGAGCTTCAAAATTTCGGGTATCGACGTTGCTTTCCCGTCGTCATTGTTGCTGCAGTGCTCTACTGTGGCAACCTCTTTCATTGAAAAGACAGATAAAACACTATTACATTCTAGAATGTTAGCATTTTATACGGACAGAAAGATTGGTCTCCTCGGCTCCCCGAGCAATAGATCCCTCCACCACTTGCGAGCGGTGACAATGAAAAACTTCTTACCTGTGGAATCTGCGTTAGAAGATGGCATGATTCTGTTTAAGGGCCAAAGGCTGCTATGATCTTTCTATTACAAGATGGTGCGGTGCGATGAGAACGCGGTCCCCAACACTGCCCTACAAGATCTGTCCTGACTTAAAATCCCCAAGCAAAGGGAAAGGCATGCAAAGAATCGCTTGAACAAGTGAAAGTTGTCCAAACTCATAGAAGCACATCGAGACGACCACATCATGTTCAGAACTACTTTAAAAAGTATATCATAGAGGTGCATGGAAAATTTATGTCTGTAAAAATGATTTTTCCTCCTCAACTCTCTCGTATCATGGCTACATCCATGTTATTATTTGCACGTACATAAATATGTATGGGATAAAAGGACGTCTATAATCACATACTTGTTGCTCAAGGAAGCGTGCCTTCTGCTCTTGCTCACGCCTTGGAGAACTAATTTAAGAAGACAGTCCCTACCATAACGGAATAATTTATGCCCACTCGTTTTATTCATACCTTTTCGTCCTCCCAAGACAGCAACAAGCACGTTCAAGCGCTCTCTCTCTCTCTCTCTCTCTCTCTCTCTCTCTCTCTCTCTCTCTCTCTCTCTCTCTCTCATGAAGTTTTTCATGGTCCTTTTGGTAGTCTTCTTCTCATTTTCTTATGCAAACAGATCCATCTTGTAGCGATCTTGCTCGAAAATGGCGGAAACCAAGGAGCTTGAGAGGGCGGCGACGACGATAGGGACGGTGCCAGGCCCGTACCAGCCCGAGTACCTGGTGTGTCAGCGGATGGGCCATATGATTTCTTCACAGGGCATCTGGTTCTCCGACCCGTTCGACTCTGCCTTTCCCGTCCTCATGTTCCAGATCATCTTGATCATCTTCACCACCCGGATCATCCTTTTCTTCCTCAAACCTCTTCGCATGAATCTCTTATTGGGTTACATTCTGGTAGTCTCCCTCCCCGATATACGGTGAATCTTAGGAACAAATAAATTATTGCATATGCAACCAACGTAATAGATTGACGCAACGCATCGTGGGTTTGCAGTTGTCTTATTGTACATAATCCTCAGCTACATGTGTGGAACGGATCTTGACATTGTATGTGGAAACGCCTGCTTCGTCCATGATGGATAGAATTAAAGATCTTATTTCTAATAGTTCTCTTCGATGCAACCAGGCAGGCATAATTATGGGTCCGGCCGTTTTAGGTCGCAACAAGGCGTACTTTGCCAAGGTGTTCCCGCCAGGCAGCATAGTTGTCCTGATGACATTAGCAGATGTAGGGTTCATGATCCACCTCTTCACCCTGGGCTCACAAATCAGCACCGACATGATAACCAAGACCGGGAAGAGTGCTGCCTTCATCGGGTCCATGTGCTTCCTCTTGCCTTATGCCTTAGGCTTCCTCACCTTCTCCATGCTCAACAGCTTCGGCAACTTGGATGCCACCCTGAAGCAGTCCATGCCTTTCATCATCGTCGTCAACTCGATCTCCACCTTCCCCGTCATCACCTCGCTCCTGGCCGACCTGCGGATCTTGAACTCGGAGGTCGGCCGGATGGCCACGCATGCGTCGCTGGTGAGCGACATGTGGTCGTGGAGCATGTCGTTGATGATCAATACCATCAACTTGGCCTTCAAGAGCTCCAAGATGGATTCCGTGTGGTCAGTGGTTTTCACGGTCGCGTTCGTCGTGGTCATCGCCTTCATCGTCCGCCCCTTGTTGAGGTGGTCAAACAAATTTGCAAAGGTAGGCATGTCATTTTGTGGTCACGTTTCTAATCACTGAGTATGAATTTGAACATTATAAGTTCTGTTCAATGTGCCAGAATATTGATTAACGATGTCATTTTCAAAGATATGAATTTCCGTTCTCATTAACATGTCAATTAGCGTAAAAACTTGACACCCTTACAAGCAGGAAGGGGAAGAGGAGGAGGTGCAATTCTACGGGTTAATGATTATCCTGTTGTGTTGTGGGCTATTGTCGGAGATTCTCGGCCAACACTCGGGCTTCGGGGCCTTTTTGATGGGCTTGGCAATTCCGGACAGGCCGCCCCTGGGGGAAACCTTGGTGCAGAAGCTGGAGACCATCTCCAGCGTGCTGCTGGTGCCAGCTTTCATGGCAACGAGCGGGTTGCGAGTGCATTTAGGAGACAAGGGTGGAACATGGTCGGTTTTCACGGAGCTTATCATATTGATGGGTTACGTCGGCAAGTTCTGCGGGACACTCTTGTCTGCCATCTTCTGCGGCATGCCATTCTGGGATGCAATCCCTCTGAGCCTCATCATGTGCTGCAAAGGCATCATCGAGATCGCCATTTACGTCGTGTGGTACGATAGGAAGGTACTCTTCAGTACTACATGCATTTTGAAAAACGGATTTTCATACGGATGACTGGCTGCGCAAACTTTTAGTTACACAAGCCATCTTCAGTACCGTTGATTTCGACAGCTGGTTAATTCTTATAACTATAGCAGTACAACTCCATAAGTGATGTAGACGATTCGTGTAATCAAAAAATTTACACAGCTCTTGTAGCAAAATGAATCCTTGAACCCTACATATATCTGCTAATGTCATAGGACAACTGCTAATGTCATCAGGACAATCGCTTTTGGTATTCATCACGTTGAGGAATTGATCTATCTATTCAATGTCAATTTGTATGTCCCAGATCGTACCTGCTCAGGTTTACACTCAACTACTCCTCACTATGCTAATTGCGACTACATTGGCAAGACCCATCATTGCCTACCTGTATGATCCATCCAGGAGATATTTGGTCCAGGGAAGAAAAACCCTGCAAGAATGGAAGGAAGGGGTCAAGATGCAATTCCTAGTGTGTCTCCACGATGAAGATCATGTCCCCACCATCATGAACCTCCTCGAAGCCTCCCACCCCACTCCCCACAGCCCTATCGCCGTCTTCGTCTTGCACCTGCAAGAGCTCCAGGGCCGCTCCACCTCCGTGCTCGTTCCCCATCACCACCTCCACAAGGCCGCCTCCAAGGCGACCAGCTACGACCACATCGTCAACGTGTTCCAGTACTACGAGGAGCACAACTGCGGGAGCGTCGTGGTGCAGCACTTCACTGCCATCTCGCCCTACACGAGCATGCACAACGACATCTGCACGCTCGCCTCAGACAAGAGGACCAACCTTGTCATAGTGCCCTTCCACAAGATGTGGGCCATCGACGGGTCCATGGGGTCAACCAAGCACGCAATCCGGAAAATGAACAAGAACGTGATGAACAAGGCGCCTTGCTCCGTCGGAATCCTCATCGACCGGGGTCCCTTGACAAGCAGCCAGCACATGCTGATGAATGAGTCGGCGCCGTATCAGATAGTATTGCTCTTCTTGGGTGGTGCGGACGATCGTGAGGCACTCGCTTATTGTATGCGCATGGTCGAGCATCCGAAGGTTGACCTAACAATAGCCCGGGTAAAGAACGACAAGTACCTGAATGAAGAGGAAAGCGGTCTTGATCAAGAACTGATAGATGATTTCCGGGCTATTGTAGGCAAGAGAAAAGTCAAGTACGTAGAGGAGACGGCGATGGATGGGGTGGGGACTACGCAGGTGATCTGCTCGTTCGAGGACGCGATCGACATGTTGATCGTGGGCAAGCATCATGATCCCTCGTCTCCTCTTATCTCGGGTTTGACCGAGTGGAATGAGTACCCGGAATTGGGGGTCATCGGCGGCATGCTAGCGACTTCTGATTTCCAGTTCTCCGTCTTAGTAGTGCAGCGGGAGCCCGTGGGGTCTGAACCGTTCAACCTGTCTTCGGAGATGAGCAGATCTCAGAGTCTCAGCCGCTCCTCACCGTAGTTCACTACGGGCACGGAAAGTGAACACAGAGACCGGACCAAAGTTACATGAGCATCCTGCCGGATGAACACGACTAAACTATATCGTGTGCGGTGGGATCGACAAGGAGCGGCCTTGCAGTTGCTCCAATGGCATTGTAGATTGAAGGTCAAGCTAAATGCCTCAGACAATGCTGAATTCCCTAGCATGTTGTTAAGATGTCGATACCCATCTCTGAAAGGGTCTCATTCCTAAGATTGTCAGATGATGTATAACCTTGTATATTACAGCTAATGTCATCAGGACATTTCTCGAGGAGTCCTGAAGATCCTTTGATCCTTTCTTTAGCATCCGGAAGTTCTTGAATTATTAACCTGATATGGAGGGCGGTGCTTCATACGTGCCTGTTTAAGCAGAAAGTTTGTTTCCAGAGGAAGCATTTCGCTGTTTGATTCTTCAATCCCTGACTACAATATAATTCAACAGATGACTTACTGCGATATCATGCTCGCTTTTTCTTTTTGCTTTTCCTCCATTTAACAAATGTGTTAGCTCTTTTGAATTACGAGTTTCGGATCAAACGATGACGCTATTACAACTTTGGACATGCATTGACATGTTAGTCCTTCTCTCTCGCTCTCTCTCTCTCTCCCTGCCCTGGCCGCAGCAACCTGCGGCCACCTTCTCCGGGCAAAGACGCGGTGGGTCTCTGCGCGAGACGGTCGTCATCGTCACGCCTGCCATTAATAATTCCTCTTCACTACCTCAAAATACATTGTGTAGTTCACCAATATGTATGCACCATTCATAATACGAACCCATTTCGCTTCATTTTGACTGCCGATTTCTTATTGTCGCGTGTTTACTAGTACTTTATCGAATAACTTGGTATATTTTGGAGATGTCAAAGATATCAGCTTTGATCGTCTCGTCATATCCTTGTGCGTCGGGCAAGTTCCACCTTTCGACAATCCGAATGCTAAACTGCAATTACACTAAACCGTAGGAGTTAGGATCACGAACGCAATTTTGCATGCCGCTAACAAAAGATCCACCGTTGTCGACCCCAATAGTACAAACTCCTAGCCTCCGTCGTGCACAAGCGAACCAGATTCGAAGAAGACGTCCCTACAATGACGGAAGGACACCCATTCAGCCACACCATTTTCGTCCTCCGAACCCAACTAAATGCGCCTCTCTCTCTCTCTCTCTCTCTCTCTCTCTCTCTCTCTCTCTCTCTCTCTCTCTCTCCACCATCAACATAGCTAGTCTTTCTGGTTTGCTTCTTCTTCTTCTTCTTCTCGGACGCGAGCGAATTGAGCTTGTGTGATCCTGGATCTCGCTGGAAATGGAGGGAATGAAGCATTGGCAAAGCAAGGATGCGACAATAGGGTCGGTGTCGGGTCCATTCCAGACCGAGATCCTCGTCTGCCAACGGACGGACAACATAGTTAACTCGCAGGGGGTCTGGTACTCCAATCCATTCAACTCCGCCATGCCCGTCCTGATGTTCCAGATCATCTTGGTCTTCTTCGCTGCCCGGATTCTCTTCCTCTTCCTCAAACCTCTCCGTCCGAGTCTCACCATCGCCTACATTCTGGTAATTCATTCATTTACCGCCTAATTTTCCTCTCTCTTTTTTTCTTTCTATTCATTTACCATCAAACAAATTACGCGATTTAGGAAATCAACGGAATAATAAGAATAAGAAGTACTTAGATGGAAGGAATATGAGAGGGATGCTAGGATGCGAATTACAATGTATGCTCTGATATCGTGTTAGATAGATTATTTACCCTAAAATCTCAAAAAAAAAAATTAAGGAACGGACTAATGGTGTATAAGGAGCGTGCTCCTTCAATATTTCTAATGCCAATTCCTAAACATGGCTCCATCCGATGCGACCAGGCAGGTATAGTAATCGGTCCCTCCGTCTTAGGCCACAACCGCAGATACCTGGCCGAGGTATTCCCTCCGGGAGGCATAACCATTCTCATGACGTTTTCCGAACTAGGGTTCCTGATCCACCTCTTCACGATCGGCGTGCAAATTGACACCGGCATCCTGCGGAGGGCCAGGAAGAGAGAGCTCCTGATCGGGACCATGTGCTTCCTCTCGCCTTACGCGGTCGCCTATCTCTCCTACTTTGCCCTCAAGGGCTTGGTCGACTTGGACGGCTCGTTGAGGTACTCTGTCCCCTACATCGCCATCGTCAACTCCCTCTCCTCTTTCCCCGTCATCACGTCGCTCCTCACTGACCTTCGGATCCTCAACTCGGACCTCGGACGGTTCGCCGCGCACGTGTCGCTGGTGTGTGACTCGTGGACGTGGGCCTTGTCTCTGCTGTCGAATGCTGCCGGCGTGGCCTTCCGGCACTCCAAGTCAGAGTCACTGTGGTCAATATTCAGCACACTCATGTTCATCTCTCTCATCGTCTTCATCGTTCGCCCCGTGACGAAGTGGTCAATCCAATGCGCAGAGGTAAGGCATGTCAATATGCAGTCACTAGTTAAATTCAAACGGCGAATTTATGTCGAGCAGTATAAGTTTTGAGGATAACAATGTCTACTCCGACGAACATATCAGGTCCAAAACCACCGCCACGCACAGGATGGAAAAGAGGAGGAGGTCCATTTCTTTGAGATTATGGTGATCTTGCTGGGGTGTGCGCTGCTGTCGGAGACCGTGGGCCAGCACTCCGGCTTCGGAGCATTCTTGATGGGCTTGGCTTTGCCGCACGGACCGCCCTTGGGGACGACCTTGGTCCAGAAGCTAGAGACAGTCTCGAACAGCCTGCTGGTGCCAATGTTCCTGGCCGTGAGCGGGGTGCGGACGGACATATCGAGCGTGGTCGCGGCGTCATCCGGGTACACGCAGGTGATAATAATGATGGGCTACGTGGGGAAGTTCTCAGGGACGCTCGTGACCGCCATCGGCTGCGGCACGCCGTTCTGGGACGCGGTCCCTCTCAGCCTCATCATGTGCTGCAAAGGCATCATTGAGGTCGCTATTTATGTCATGTGGTATGACAGAAAGGTAATTCCTTCGAGAAGAACATGGAAAGAACAGTGCATTTCTTGAGGTTGACATACGCATGTTCATCACCGTATCGATTACATTTGAATTGGGCATGCATGGTCCGATATGTTGCTCATGAAATCCATCTGAACTTGCATGTCCAGATCATAGATCAACAAGTCTACGCTCAGCTGGTGCTCACCATGGTGATCGTGACTACGTTGGTGAGGCCCATCGTCGCTTATTTATATGATCCATCCAGCAAATACACGATCAATGGACGAAGAACCCTCCCGCAATCGAAGGAAGGCGTCAAGGTCCAGATCCTCGTTTGCATCCACAACGAAGACAGTGTCCCCACCGTCATGAATCTCCTCGAAGCCTCCAACCCCGCCCCTCACAGCCCCATCTCCGTCTTCGTCCTCCACCTCAAGGAGCTCAGGGGCCGGTGCGCCTCCGTCCTCGTCCCCCACCACCACCTCGACAAGGCCGCCTCCAAGGCGTCCGGGTCCGACCACGTCGTCAACGCGTTCACCAACTACGCGCAGCGCAACCATGGGAGCGCCGTGGTGCAGCACTTCACCGCCATCTCGCCCTACGAGAGCATGCACGACGACGTGTGCGCCCTCGCGCTCGACAAGCGGACCCATCTCATCATCGTGCCCTTCCACAGGACGTGGGCCATCGACGGGTCCGTCGGGTCCACCAACCGCGCCCTCCGCAACGTGAACATGAATGTGATGGGCAAGGCGCCCTGCTCCATTGGGGTCCTCATCGATCGGGGCCCGCTGGCGAGCGCCCCGCACGCGGCGGCCGGCGAGGCCACGCCGTACCGAGTTTTCGTGCTCTTCTTGGGGGGCGCAGACGACCGGGAGGCGCTCACCTACAGCCTGCGAATGGCCGACCACCCGTGGGTCAGCCTCACCATAGTTTGGGTCAAGAGTAGAGAGCACGAGAACGAGGGCGAGAGCCAGTTTGACAAAGAAGCGATGGGTGACTTCCGGGCCAAGGTGGGCAACAATAGGAAGGTGAAGTGCGTCGAGGAAATGACAAGAGACGGGGTCGGCACCATCCAGGCGATCCGCTCGGTCGAGACCGCGGTCGACCTGTTGATAGTGGGCAAGCACCACGACCCGTCGTCGCCGCTCATCTCGGGCTTGACGGAGTGGAGCGAGTACCCCGAGTTGGGAGTCATCGGTGACCTGCTCGCCACTTCCGATTTCAGGTTCTCGGTTTTGGTAGTGCAGCGAGAGCCCACGGCGGAAAGATCACTGCCCTTTACTGAGCTTATGGATCAGTAGGTAGGTCGTAGAGATCGTCGGTGGCGACTCCGTTTGTCGGAGCGTGAAAATTGAACGATCGATCGCGAGCACCTCCGGCGAGAGACGCTTTGTTTCTCTCTTGGTTTCGTAATGCATAGTACGAGGAGATTAGGTACATTTTGGACATATAATCATGATTGAAGAATGTATGTATATATTATGGATGGTTGGACAAAATTCCAAAACCGAATGTATATGTGTAGATTGTTCGGTTCGGCGAAAGTGTGGTAGACATTTTAATTTTTTAGGATAAATGCACTAGAAGTCCTAAAAAACTTATCATGAAAGTCTAATTGAGTCCTAAAACTTACAAAAAGTGTAATATAAATCCTAAAACTTGTCAAATCGGTACAATCAAGTCATTTCGCTAACTCCGTCCAATTTGGCTAACGGAAAATGCTGACGTCACTTTTTTTTATTTATTGTTTTCTCTCTTTTATGTGACATTGACGTTGCTAAAGCGATGTCGTTTTAATCTAAATTTGATTTTTTACTAGAAATTTTGTTTAAACTATACAAAAAGATAAGTTGATTTAAATGTTAAAAAGATCGTTGGGAAAGGCCAGCTATGGTGAGGGATGGTTGGCCATGGGTCGCGGAGGGTCGTTGGCCCTCCCCCAAGTCTGACCCAAGGCCGGCAACCTTTGCTCGATTTGGGAGAGGGCCAATCGACGCTTGCGATTGGCGAAGGTCGCCGGGCACAAGGTCGTTGGCCACTGGTTGGGGCCAGTGACCCTCGCTGACCTATGGCTAGCCATCCCCCACCATCGCCGACCCTTCTCAGCGCTGGTGGTGCGGCAGTGGCAAGGGCCAAGCCCTCGCCGTTATGACTTCCTTCGTCTCTTTATTTATTTAAATTAAATCATTTTTAATTTAATTTAAATTAAATAATATGCAGATCAAAACGATGTTGTTTTAGTCTTGTCCTTCTTGTTCATGTAGGAGAGAGAAAACAATAAAAAAAAAGTCGTGTCAGCATTTTTCGTTAGCCAAATTGGACTGAGTTAACAGAAGGACTTGATTGTACCAATTTGATAAGTTTTAGGACTTGATTGCACTTTTTATAAGTTTTAAAACTCAATTACACTTTCGTGACAAGTTTTAGAACTTTCAATGCACTTATCTCTAATTTTTTTTCTATAGTTTTCAAATTGCCCACTTTTGTACTAACTTACTTTTATTTGTACATGGATTATTCGGATTTACTAACTCTTACTACGAAATTATCAACCTATTTTGGAGTGACTTACCAAGTTTTGTTGTATTAAATAACCAACTAATTTTGGAACACAAATATTCATTAACACTACTAACCAAAGTTTTAATTATTTTTTTAATTGGAATAATACCACGAAAAAATTCCAAACTAGTACGTCTGTGACAAATACTCTCCGTTAGTCTCTATTGAATTTTACTATCAAATTATTGAATTGGATGACACGTGGTAGTTGACAGGGGTTTGGAATTTTACCCTTTATTTGTCACATATGTACCAGTTTGTGATTTTTCGTATATTAATTCAATTTAACGGAAACTAATAGAGGGTAAATTTGTCGTAAATGTACCAGTTTGGGGTTTTTAATAGTAAAAAAATTAGTTTGTGGCACAGGTATACTAATTTGGGGTTTTTGATAGTCAAAAAATCAATTTGGAGTTAATTTATCAGAAATGTACAGGTTTTGGATTTTCATGATATTAATGTTTTTTAATTTTATCAACTTTTGTATTGAGTTACCAATTTTTATTTTTGTTGGTTTGCAACCAATTTTACATTTACTTTAGTGATTACTAACCTAAATTAACATGACTTACCAACTTTTCTCTCATTAAATTACCGTATAGTATAGATTTACCCACTCTCATTTGAGTAAATAGTAATGTTTATTTGGTTTTTAGTTAAATTGCCAAATTTTCTTATCATATATATACTTGTATTTGGATTTCTTAATAATCACTTAGTTATCAACCCCTTTAAGTAATTACCAAGTTCATTTTTTTTCTTTTAATAAACAACTATTCCTATCTTTTACCGACTTTAATTAAGTTTTCTCAAATATGCCCTTAAAATTACCAATTCTTATATGAAATTGCTAACTTGGATCTAAATGGTGTATCGACTGGTCCAGTGTTACCAATTCTCATTTGAGATAGTTATCAACATTTATTTGATTTCTTTTTATTTTACCAACTTTTCTAGTTGCATACTACAAAAAAAAGAAGTTGGTAAGTCCCAAAAATAACGGCTGGTAATGTCCTATAGTAGTTGAGAAGTCTAAGGCGTTGATGAAAAAAGGTACACAAAATCAAAAATTTGTTGGTAATGAAGTTAGTGATGCAAATTAGTTCTCGACTTAATCTTAGAAAAAGGATTGGTAAGTAAGGTAAATAAAAGTGGTTACAAATACATACGAGCGCTAGGATAAATTTTATCATAGTTATATTCGGGGGTTAAGCACATATTGATATAATTTTGATAAGGAAATGTCACTAGGAATGAGATATTTTTCGTATATGTCTAGATATTGCATGGCCGCGTTAGCATAATCACTCTTCTTTTAAACCAAATGATAAGGATGGCATTGGTGATCATCGAACTAGGAAAATGCTACACCGCTGCTTCGTGATACTACCTTCCGATGTAGGCGGCAAGATCAGCATAACACATGAGCGTGACCAAATTAAGGCTGGTTTGGTGTTTCGGACAAAGGTAAAAGATCACAAGGTGCGACGAGATCAAAGAGATGTTCAATAATCAAGGTTTTGGTGAATTTGTTGCATATCAGAATGGGCTTGAGCATTCTATCCCGGTGCATCAAATGTATGATGAGATTATTCACCATTCGAATGATTTTTAATCCCACTTTATCTTATTTTTATTGCACTCCGAATAACGAAATGCAGCCCCACAAGGAAGTTTTAGTCTCTTCCAATTAACTTTAGCAATTTATTGACACTTTTCTCACACTCCTTGCTCTTGTATATTTTTTAACTATATGAAATCTAACTCATAAACAATTTCCTTTTTTTTTTTTTTCGTAAGCAGACATTCTAATTCATAATTGACAAAACAAATCAAATCTACTCCTAGCAATTCAATAACTACGACCACTACACAATAAGTTTTCATTGAGATGCGCGTGTGAATTATATTGAAAGAGTTTCACATGAAGAATCAGTGTAATGTAGGTCAGTTAATATATCCTAACGGGATCATAAATTATTAGGATTTGGGTTCTCTTTAGTGATCTCCTAGTAAAGGTATCGAACTTTCTACTATGCGCTCCCAACAAGTGTTTACTACGCGCTCCCAATGAATGGTATTAGAGCCAATAATTCATTAATGGGTGTATTGATAGCCGGTGAATATCTCAAGTTTTCGGATAAATGGGCTTTGTAAGAATACATGAGTTATTATGGAGCAAATCCAACACTGAGCTAAACACATAAGTTGTTTTAGAAAAAGTCTTACGTCATAAAATTAATGCAGCATGGAGTAGTTAATATATTATTATTGCTTCATAATCATCAGCTTAAACTTAAGCTCTATGAAGGTACTGGGCTTCTACTTCCTATTAAAATTTTTTGTAAAATAATTTTTCTCAATCCCAATTAGCTGAGCAAAAAAAAAGAAGAAGGTTAATACCATGAAAAACCCTAAATTGATACACTTGTGATAAATAAGTACGAAGAATCACAAACGGTGCACCTGTGACAAATAGACGATAAAACACCCGTTAACTGTCACGTGTCATTTTACTCAGGAAATTTAATGGTAAAATTTAACGAAAATTAGCGGAGCATAACAATTTGAATTTTTCGCTATATTAACCCAAAAAAAGAAAATAATAATTTCGCATTCGCATCGTCTCCTCCTTTCTTCGACTTCTTCTTCTTCTTCTTCTTCAACCTCCTCGTCATACTCGCTGTCCTAACTTCTCTCAATGACGTCATCTTCCTCCACGCTCCCCACCTCCTCCAACCCCCAATCCCAACCCCCCTCCTCCTCCTCCTCGTCCTCCGCCGCCGCCGCCGCCGCCGCCGCCGCCTCCTCCGCCTCCACCGTCGCGTCCCTCCGCGCCTTCCTCTCCCGCCTCTCCTCCTCCACCCGCCGCGCCCTCTCCGGCCGCCGCCCCTGGCCGGAGCTGCTCGACCGCTCCGCCTTCGCTCGCCCCCGGTCCCTCGCCGACGCCGCCTCCCGCATCCGCCGCAACGCCTCCTACTTCCGCGTCAACTACCTCGCCCTCCTCGCCCTGGTGCTCGCCCTCTCCCTCCTCTCCCACCCCTTCTCCCTCCTCACCCTCCTCTCCCTCCTCGCCGCCTGGCTCCTCCTCTACGCCTTCCGCCCCTCGGACCAGCCCCTCGTCCTCCTCGGCCGCGCCTTCTCCGACCGCGAGACCCTCGCCGTCCTCTCCCTCCTCACCGTCGTCGTCGTCTTCCTCACCAGCGTCGGCTCCCTCCTCATCTCGGCGTCGATGGTGGGCCTGGCCATCGTGGCGGCCCACGGCGCGTTCAGGGATCCCGAGGATCTGTTCATGGACGAGCAGGAGTCCGCCGGTTCCGGCCTCTTCTCCTACGTCGGCGCCGCCGCCGCCTCTGCCGCCTCGGCGGCTCCTTCGCTGGCCTCGCGTGTCTGAGTATGTTTACGCCGCCGTCTCTGTTTCTCTTCTCTCTTGGCAGATGATGATTTGAAGATACACTTTGCTGTGATCTTTCTAGTATTAGATTCATGGCTTCTTTTCGCATTCACTAGCTCACTCCATTACTTGTTTCCTAATTGGATCTCATGTATTTCATGTTTCGTTGTTTTGCTTTGGCTTACTTTTTCGCTGAATAATTCATATGATAGATCCTATGCAAAAGGCTTGGAACGACTCTTGTGTTGGAATGCAGTGCGCATTCAAGCTCCGTTTTCTTTGTATACAACTACATGGGAAGGAGGTAGGAGAAGAAAATGTTTAGAGCGTTAAAGGTAGCTATGAGATAACAGAGCGCACTCTTCCTATGGAAATCTATTTGGGAAGTCAAGGTTCCTGTAAAGGTTTCTTTTTTTGGCTTGGGAAGCTGCTTGGGGATGCATTCTTACTTTGGATAATCTTCAGAAAAGAGGAAACACACTCAGCTAATAGGTGTTATCCGTGCAAGATTGAAGAACAGAGTGTGAATCACTTATTTTTACGTTGTAACTGGACTGGAAAGATTTGGACTACAGTTTCTGCAATTTTAGGAGTATATTGGGTGACATCAGGCACAAACTTTGGGCTTGGAGAGAGAGTATTAGTTTGGGTGTTGGAAAGAAATGGATGACTAAGATGATTGTTCTACTTCTTTTTTGGCTAATTTGGAGAGAGGGGAACAAGAGGGTATGTCAAGAACTTGAAAACTCTTGGGATTCTTTTAGGGATAATTGGTTGTACATCTTCACTTTTATAATAGTGGGGAAGTTCGATTTCATACATTTAGTTTGGTGGAAATGTTAGAAACGGTCTTTTGTGCACAATTTTGTATATGGATGGTTTTAGCTGAAGCTGTTTTGTACAGGGTGGGTACGCCTTTGGTACCTTCAGTGTGCAATTTTATTTATCATTATTGAAAAACAAAAGTTAGCAGTGAGATAAACATGCCAGGCAAGGGTTGATAGTGAGAAAGTGAGATAAAGATCGTCCTCGTGACTTTTTGATGTAATGATTACTGATAGCTACGAAATTTGTGGCTCCCTTTAATTCTTGTAACTATTCATATCAGTTCTTGATTTGCCATGAGCCTATAAACCTGGGGTGTGACTGAATGGGGTCATGAATCGGAAGTTACCTCTCATTTAGCCACTATTGGTAGGACATACGTGGTTGATCTGAATATCCTTAAAGTATTGGTTGTGAGATGGAACAATAGCATTAGAAAAATCCAAGTGATAATCAATACCGCTTTTAATGCAGAAGTCCCGAGAGGTTGCTGTTTTAGCTTGAATTGGCAAAGCAATTACCTCATGAGTGTGATTCATTTGCAATTTCTGAATGCTCTCATTTGTTTCAAAATTTAATCATCTATTCAAGGTCAGGCTCAATAATTTGAACGGCCAAGTCAACAAGTTCCAGTAAAACAAAGATGAGCTACTTAGGGAGGGAAATCATGCCATTTTTATTGATGTGTCTTGTCTTGTTAAATGTTAGATAAAACATACTATTTCATGAGAAAAAACCACTTGACCTGGAGCAGCCTTTCATTCAGACATGAAATCAGTGTTTTTCTACGCTGTCAAGTTGAAATACATTCACAAGAACTTACATAACACATGATAGATGAGAATTAGTCAAGTTCCCTTTGGTTTATTTAGGGTGGAGACTTGGATAGAAGTGTTCCTTGTGTCCTCACTTGGATGATTGAAGAACTGTTGACTTGTTAAGAGTCTAATAACCCAGATTTTTACACATAATTCTCCTTGCCTCTTTCAAATGCTGCTGAATTATGCTGAAAAGTTTGAGTAATAGTCAGAAGATCTTGTCACTATTGTTCAGAGAATTAGGGTTTGCCACTTCTATTTATACTGTCTTCACTATGAATAAAGGGCGGCAAACCTTTGATCTTGTACATTTTGATACCCTTACTATAGACAGGAGGATTGTGAGGAGGTGCTTGAAGGCATTGAAAGAGCAATTAGATCCAAATGTGAGCATGTTACTGGTGGCGTGAGGAATATTTTTGTTTTTTCAGAATGTAGCCAAAATCGATTTTACCAAAACTGATTCATAAGGTAGTATAGCAAAGTCTAAATGGCAGTTTACATAGGTCCTCTGATCCAGTGACCCTTGTTCCCAACTGCTTCCTGCATTTTCCTTTTTTCAGGTCCTTAGCCTTCTCTAATTGTGTTTACCTTTTAATGTTAGAAAAGCATGGCGAACTATATATGATTTATTGTGACAGGAAAAATGGCTCCCTCTATGGCAGCTGTTGGCAGTTTGCCTTAGGGAGGAGATTTGGTGATTCTGGCTAGAACAATGCCAGGATTACTGAGACTAGTATATTTTGGCAGATTGTTAATAGGTGTTGATTGTTGGATATGGACGTGCTTGTTGATATGTCCCCCTGTAGTCACTCGATTTACTTAAAATTTTATTTTTATAACCCAGTGTAACTACACCCAACATTACCCTTCTCATTTATTAGTTTGAGCTTCCGGGCTTCATAACCTGATCTTAGATGGGTCTTGTTCTTCTGGTTTTTCTCAACTTGAAGTTGTGCAAAATCTGCAGATACTCTCCTGACTAGATTTATGACAACGGATACAATGACAAGCTGACCAATGCAGTTAACACGGCATTCAGTATGCATCAAGGAAATAAAACTAACAAGCGGCCAGAACCATTTACTTGTGGGAGCTTTCCGGTGCACGTTCCTGAAGCCTACAAGCATTGCAACAGTCAACTGTTAAACATAACTTACTCATTTTTTTCTAGTCCACCTCCATGAGGAGTCAACTTCGTTTTACCACCCTTGGAGACTGCAGAGAATACGCAAAGGCAATTGATATTCTGGTGCAACTTAGGACGAGAGTACCATGTCTATGCTTTCTTTTGAGTTTTCTCTCGGATGTTCGCTTATGCCAGTTTGCCTTTGGCAGGCTACTTAATTCCCCAAGGTCGCCACTGAGAAATGGTGTCCATAGCTTGGGAGCAGGCACTTATTTAATACTAGTTCAACACCTTACAAAGTGCTGGACTTGGCAAACTTGCTAATTAGTGATCGATGTAAGGAAAATTTTTATGAATATCATCAGAATTAAAGTAGTGGTCTTGCAAAGCTAAGTGATCTTTGACAATGCCTACATTATATTTCGTTTGGATTGTTTAAGGTTAAAGTAGTCCGTTGAAGCTAATGCAATGGAAACTCGTGGTGGCCAACACCAAGTTGGTTTTAAAAGAGACTAATTTATTTGTCAAAAAGCTTCAGTATTGTGCTGAAAACTTATGCTGTGACTTTTTCGATCTTACCTATGATTTCTTGAGGTTGGACAATTTGGATTCAGAGGAGTAAAGAAATTGTAGTAGGAAAGATGGAGGAGGTAAAAACATGTTCATCAGTCGATCTACTTTGGCCAAGAAAGAATGTGGATATCATTTGATTAAGAAGCAAAAATCTTCAGAGTTTGGCCTCGTCACTCTGAATAAATGCAGGTGGAGCCATGAAAGGTGAACCGAGCTCGGGGAAGCACAATTTGGCTATGTATGATTAACGTTGTCGATGCCAGAGCCCAAAGGCAATTGGTGTGGCTTAGTTAGTTCTAACGGGAATTGATCAATTCGAGCAAAGGAGGTGCACAACCAACCCTGGCCAAGAATTCCAACCTGCCTGTAAAATGTCATCTAACATTACGGACCAGTCTTGAGCAATACTCTTGGACATAGAAGCAGCTCTGAACTAAGGCAAAGCTCATCTGTTTACTTGCTGAGCTGTCTAACAAGAAACTAACAAGGACATTCAGACAAAACCTTGGCACAGTATCAACAAGATGACATGAAAATTGTCCTGAACCTTTTAATTCCTTTTCGTTTAGCTTTTCCAGGAATCCTGTGATTCAACAGACATGGGACAGAAACATGAGCCCTTGCAGTGGCAGTGGCACCAGTCCGAACCTTCAGCATTCTTTTCTCATGAGTAGTTCCCGTGTGGTTTTGACTTTGCCTCTGTACACTACATATTCTGGTGGTTCTTAAAAAGATGGACAAGGTTAGCGGGTGCAACAAATCCACTTTGCAGTTGGACTAAGTGTTTGAAAGTCTGAACATCTTCATCAACTTAAAACCTTGTTTATTGAAGTGTTAGTGCTTTCCTCTCTCACTAGTTCAAAAGATTTTCCCTGCAGAATTTCCTTCCGTCTGTTCAACCCCCGCTTTGCCCGCGCAATATGTACCGGCAACCTCGATTGAGTCACCCGTATTAGAATGTGCCTGGTAACATTTACAAAGGCACTGAGTCAAGATGCATAAGCTCATTGACAAGCCTGACCAGTTTTGCCTCCTGATTGCGTTATCTGTTGTGCTTGTGTCTTTGGTTTCATTCTCAGATGCTGAAGCTCATTACCATGAATTTGTTGTAGGTCCTCCTCGCACTTCTTATTTCCTTTTTCTCTGTGTCTCTGCTAAAGGACTGACTTGCGAAAGTTCTAAATATGTCCATTTACCTTGATTCGACTAGATTCAAGCGCAACCAGTGAAAAGGCTATGCAGAACCCACAACATTATCACGGTTAATGGGCAGTTCCCAGGGCCGATATTAGAAGTGAGAGATGGAGATTCTCTTATCATCAAAACCACGAATAGTGCTCAATACAATGTCACCCTTCACTGGTAAAGTTCGCAAATCACAGATTCCGGCAATGTATGCACGAGTTAGAGTAGCCATAGCAAGTGCAACGACATGCGTGAGGCTAAATTCCAGCCCATAATACTTACCGAGCTCCGCATTCTAGAATCTCATGCTAACTGCTTGTGTTTGTCAGGCATGGAGTTCGACAAATAGCCAATCCATGGGCGGATGGACCTGAATATGTTACCCAGTGTCCAATACAACCGGGAGGGACCTACACGTACCGCTTCACCATCCAAAACCAAGTGGGGACATTGTGGTGGCATGCGCATAGCGAATGGCTTCGGGCTACTGTCTATGGAGCTCTTATCATTCACCCTAAAGTCGGGTTGCCCTACCCTTTCACAACACCAAATCAAGAGATTCCTATTCTTCTTGGTAAGGTTAAACATATAAGCAACATAACCAATCCTTTGTACGAATAACTACTCATGTGAAATGGCAATGCTCGTGCGTAGGGGAATGGTGGGATAGAAACCCTATGGATGTCCTTCGGCAAGCCCAGTTCACAGGAGCCGCTCCGAATGTGTCCGATGCATACACCATCAATGGCCAGCCAGGAGATTTCTACAAATGTTCTAGCCAAGGTTTCCACCTCCTTTTCCAGTTAAAATTTTGCGTTGATACTATCATAACTGTAATTTACTGAGAACTTGAGTCCAAGTAGTAACATGATGACAAATGCAAATGCAGAAACCACGGTGTTTTCAGTGGAATCGGGCGAGACGGTCCTATTAAGAATCATTAATGCTGCACTCAATCAAGAGCTCTTCTTTGCAGTGGCCAACCATAAGCTGACCGTCGTAGGGGTTGATGCTGCCTACACCAAGCCCTTTACAACGAGTGTTATCATGATCGGACCTGGTCAGACCACTGATGTTCTCCTCACTGCCGATGAGTCTCCATCTCGCTACTACATGGCGGCGAGCGCATATGCCACTGCCCAAAATGCAGCATTCGACAATACCACCACCACCGCCATACTTGAGTACGCATCTGAGACTTGCAGTGCAAGAAGGCAGTCCTCTCAGGTGCTCCTCCCGCGACTTCCGGCCTTCAATGACACAACCACTGCGACTGCATTCACGGCTGGATTAAGGAGTCCTTCCAAGGTCAGCGTCCCAAATAACATAGACGAGAACTTATTCTTCACGGTGGGTCTTGGACTCATCAATTGCTTGTTCCCGAGCCCGAATTGTCAAGGCCCGAACGGAACACGCTTTGCTGCCAGCATGAACAACGTCTCCTTTGTCCTCCCGACCACCCTCTCCGTGATGCAAGCTTATTATCAAGGTGTTCCTGGCATCTTCAGTACAGATTTCCCACCTGTTCCCCCGATTCAATTCGACTACACTGGCAATGTGAACAGAGGATTGTGGCAACCGGTAAAAGGGACGAAAGTATATAAGCTAAAATACGGTTCCGCAGTGCAGATTGTTCTGCAGGACACGAGCATCGTGACCACCGAGGACCACCCCATGCACCTCCATGGATACCAATTTTCTGTAGTTGGGATGGGCTTTGGCAACTTCCATGCGGCAAGGGATACACCGAAATTTAACCTCGTCGATCCCCCTGTTAGGAATACCATCGGGACGCCCCCAGGTGGCTGGGTAGCAATCAGATTCGTGGCAGACAATCCAGGTAAACCATGAACTAGTTCGGTTTTCTTCTAGTCTACGAATTCGACGGAGAATTTCACTCACTTCCTTTGCTTTCGGTACATATGTATGGCTGTTGTAGGAGTGTGGTTTATGCATTGTCACATTGATGCACACCTTGTATGGGGTCTTGCTATGTGTTTCCTGGTCGAGAACGGACAAGGCGATCAGCAGACCGTGATACCTCCACCGCCGGATCTACCTCAATGTTGAGCACCGATCATCGAATTTGATATCAAAGTCGCCGTTCTTCTGATGTTTTAGAAATGTAACATATACTTCTCCCCCGGATGTGCTATAATAGATTTTGAAGGCTCTTGCTAGAACTCAAGCAGATGCTTTACTTGCTTGATTCCTGTTTAATTCCATTATGCAGTTGAAGAGCTCTTTTAAAGAAAAACAGAGCAAGTGGATTGATTGACTCGAACAAAATCAGTAACCTGAAACCAAAAACCAGCGTGACCAGTGAACTGTTTGAAGGAGCTATGTGAAATATATAGAAGTTAACACTCACCCGAAAAGAGTCAGCATCTTGCGATTATTTTAAGTATTCCTTTCGGGGCTTGAACTGGGCCAATATCGTTAGAAATGGTATCAGGGCATGTTTCCTCCAATAGATGCATGGTTCGAGGAGACTAGACCTATCTAATGGGGGCGAAGGGGCGGAGAGTAATCGCTGCAGTGAGAGAATTCAGATAATATGCGACTCTATGCTAACACCCATCCCACATTTGGTTGGCACTTTTGTGCGTTGCTTTGAGTACTCCTTTTGAGGTTATGCCCCCAGCGAACCGAATTGAGTCATATGCTGCAAACTCCATCTTCACTTTAAATAACCTTAATCCTTTCCCAGATCATTGAAGACAAAAATTTTGAACTCTCACGTCGTGAACAAAGGTAGCGAAGATCAATTCTTCAAGTAACTGTGTCCTAACGAACCACATGATTTTGTACTCTCAAGTCCTCGACCCATGCAGATTAGGCTGTTGATGGTCGAACTGCCTGGTGCGTGGATAATTCTAATCTAAAGACAAAGCAAAAAATCATATTCTAGGAAAAGGAAACCGTTCAAGCTGCTAATATCAATTTCCACAAAGTAGGATTTGAATCTTCAAGTTTCACTCCTCCGCACAAGCTGATTGGTCGAGATGGACTAGTAATTCATCGTGGATTTCCTCAATACTTGATGAAATTAGACAATTGCAAAACAATAAATGTAAATGAAGTTCTCACTAACCTTTTTGTTACTAGGCCAGACAATTATTTGATTATTATTATTATTATTAATTGTTTTTTGTGGGTCAAAATTTGATTATTATTATTACTACTAGCATTTTTGCAGGTCTAGTTGTTGAGCCGCTTCTGGTTGTTGAGCAGAGCAAAGCTGAAACCTCACAGCTCAGCTGTCAGCTCCAACGTTCCATCTTCCTCGGAAACTCCGAAGGAACCGGGACAACAACAAAGGTCGCGTCTTTGGAGAAACCATCACATGCGCGCTCTCCTCCATTGCCGCCACCACCACCACCATCATCACCCACTTCGCTCTCCCATTCCTCTCGCCAACATGAGCTCCCTCTCGCTCCCTCTCCCCTCCTCCGCCGCTTCTTCCCCGCGATGCCTCCTCCTCCTCGCCGCCGCCGCCGCCGCCCCCGACCCCTCCTTCAAGCCGTCCCTGTTCTTGCGCTTGTCCGGCGCGCCCCGAAATGGGTCCCCCGGCCTCCGCCTCGGGAAGGTGGGTCGCCGATCCAGGGCCTTCATGGGCGTCTCCGCCGGAACCCAGAAGGCCGTCGACGACGGATTGTTTCTTGATTACAAGTCCTCCACCGCTTTCTTGTTCCCCGGTCAGGTGTTGCGCCGATTCTCTCTCTTGTGCAGTATAGTTTAGTTCGCCTGTTGAGTGATTCTTGTCTAATCTCATTGAAGGAGAGATGATTTTGTAAGTGGTGAGATTGTGTTTTGGGGTTGGCGCTGCTTTAGTTGCTTGAGCAGTGATGGGAGGGGCTTTGTTTTTTGGATGGGTGAGGAAGCTGTTGCGTGAGATCGTCCTTAGAGTAGCCTGAGTTGTGATCTACGTGTGTGTATACCGAATTATTGTCGTGCATCGAGCCGCGATGTTGCATTTTGCCGTATGGTTAGTGAATATGGCTCCTCAGGTGGAATGTACTTTGTCTGAAGTTTCTCTGCCAAGGTTGGCTAAATGCATAATCGAGCTGTGTATCGAAATGCAGTGGGTATTTACTCTTAAAAGGACATAACTTTAATGAATCTTGTTGTGTTGGTGTTTCGCTATTTGTATAATGTTAGTGCTGTGGCTTGTAATCTCGCATCCTTCCTCAATGTGGTTTTCTAAATTATAATCTATACTTGCAGGGTGCACAAGCAGTTGGAATGGGAAAAGATTCCCAGAGTGTGCCTGCCGCCGCAGAATTATACAAGAAGGCAAATGACATATTGGGGTATAGTCCTCTCTCTTCTAACCTTTGACTGATCAATGCATCTCGTTGGAAAAACTCTTGGACAAACTTGAATTGATAATGCTTTACTGGGTCTATTTCCTGGAGAATGCCAGGGTGCATGAGCTGATTCATTTCAGATTCGATTCGTTGTGGCATGTTTGAAGAGTTTCTAATATTTGCTCTTGCATTTTTGGAAGGTATGATCTTCTAGATGTTTGTAGCAATGGTCCAAAAGAAAAAATTGATTCAACTGTTATAAGTCAGGTACACACTGCAATCACTGCTCAGTAGTACTTCTCTAAATCATTGCAAATCATCCTTTGTATTCACTCTTTTAGGGAGCAGAAGATGTTAGGTATTTGGTTGGATTGGTGGGATAAATTATGGAGTTTATGATTGATAATTACAATGTCATCTCTTAGAACAACGATTGTGAAAATATTGTTTTCATCTTGCAGCCAGCCATCTATGTCACAAGTCTGGCTGCAGTTGAAATACTACGTGCTCGGGAAGGAGGTCAACAGATAATCGAATCTGTTGATGTTACTTGTGGGTTAAGCTTGGGAGAATACACTGCTCTAGCATTTGCTGGAGCTTTCAGGTCAATAATACTTATATTGCATCTTCTTTCTTGTAATTGTACGAGTGCACTATCTAAATTCCCCAAAGTTGTTGGCACACCAGCCACTTAAAATCAGCACAGTTAGAGGTCACTCGTTGAAATCCCTCCAAATGCATGCAAACTACCCAAATGTCAGGGCCACTTACTCATGCTGAAGACCTGGATCTAACTGATTCAGGAGGCTTACATGGTGTTCCGTGGGCTTTCATATAGCTGACTCTCTACGCCAGTGCCCTTGGAATATCAAAAAAGTTGGTGGCAGTATTGACCAATATTGAAATTAACAATTATGCATTCTTCTAAGCTTTACTTTGATTACCGTGTACTAATTCTCTGTATTCTTTTTGCTTTGTGTGGTTTACCCCTCAGTCTCTTCACTTCTCTTTGTCCATCTTATCACTTTTGGATTTTCTCACAAGCTTTTGTATCAACTTTGAGGAGATGTACTGCTCTTTTAGTGTCTGATCTCGTTCCATATTATTATCAGCTTTGAGGATGGGCTTAAATTGGTCAAACTACGAGGAGAAGCAATGCAGGTAATCATCCTTTATACAAGACGATTGGAGTTGTACTTAGATTTACCACTTACATGTTCCAACATCGAACTTTACTCTAGCATTGGCTATCATGTTACTACAAATTTCCTCGGTAACAATGTCTAGTTGCTATGGCCACCAGGAAGCTGCTGATGCAGCTAGGAGTGCTATGGTCAGTGTCATAGGTTTGGATTCAGAGAAGGTCCAACTGTTGTGTGATGCAGCTAATGAAGAAGTTGATGACGAAAATAAAGTGCAGATTGCAAATTACCTCTGTACTGTAAGATTTCTTCTGCTAGAAAGCTGTGTATGTATAATTTGTTTATATTCTACTTTTTTCTCCAAGGTGCAAAATGAAGTAGCCCGACTATTGTGTAGTACGGAAGTGAATAATGGCTGAATCTGGGGCAGCAAATCTGACTAAATTACCTGTCTTTCTATCATTTTCTTATGAAGTTAAGTAATCGGTTCTATATTGTTAGGGCAATTATTCAGTCTCTGGAGGCTTGAAAGGAATAGAAGCAGTAGAAGCTAAAGCAAAGTCGTTTAAGGCTCGGATGACGGTATTCTTCCTTTAAAATATGATTATTCAGTAAAATTATGGAGCCAGAAATTAAAGCCAGTTTTTTGTCTCTGACTCGTTAGGTGCGTCTAGCTGTTGCTGGTGCTTTCCACACAAGCTTTATGAAACCAGCAGTCTCTAGATTGGAAGCTGCATTGGCTGCAACAGAAATTAAGACTCCTAGAATACCAGTCATATCCAATGTTGATGCGAAACCACATGCTGATCCAGACACAATTAAGAGGATATTAGCCAATCAGGTAAGCAAGCTTAGGAACGTGTTCTGTTTCAGGAATCAAAGACTGTTGTTGAGCGAACCTTCACTTCAAAACCGCAGGTGACTTCTCCCGTTCAGTGGGAAACGACAATCAAGACTCTGCTTACGAAAGGGTTGAAGAAGAGTTACGAATTAGGTCCTGGAAAGGTAAAACATTATGGGGTACACTCAAATGATTCCTGCTTTATACTCATGAGAATTGCATATTAATGATGGAACATTGGATCATATCCAGGTGATAGCTGGTATTGTCAAGAGAATGGACAAGACTGCTGAGGTCGAAAATATCGGTGCTTGAAACCTTTGATAGGTCCTAGAATTTATTGCTGCAATTTTGTCTTCTCATGCGGCTTCTCAGCGCGCAGAGCTGCAGTTTCTTGCTTGACCTGATATGAGTCATGAAGAGCTCGAGGTCCCTTCTCTTTGCTCATCTCTGTTTTTCCTCCCTTTGACCCAATTCTTGATTGGATACAGAGGAACTAGATTTACCAGCACTTGCTTTGTATGAAAGATAATATTAGATAAAAAGTCTGAACCCTGAAGGGAGTAACAAAGAGTTAATTGCTTTATTACACATTCTACTGAATAATCATCTTCTCTTTCGTATATGTTTTCTCTGTTTCCTTTTCTTTTTGTGAGAGAGCCAATTTTATTAGGAACCCCGGTACTCAAACGAACATTTGAGGAGGGGGAAGGTGATGCTGCCAACAAAAGAATAGAAGTTTTTGAATGTCCATGAGAAAATCTAGATATGATTTTACCTACGGGCGTGAAACGGGGGATCTTTTCATTGAATAACTTGATCGTTGAATTACCTACAGAAACTTTGTGAGAGGGGTACTGGACAGGCCTACGGTCGAGTGGCCTGGCTTAGTAGCTTGTGATGACGGTCGTAATGTCACCAAGCGATGGCTAAGCTAGTGTATGAGTTTGGCAGTTGGGGTCAATTGGCCAGTGTTTTAAAAACTGTGTTGGACAGGGTTGGTTCAACCAGTTTAACTGGGTACTGGTTTCTGATTCGTTGTAGAATCTGATCCGGTTTTTTGACCGATTCATTCGGATATCAATTTGCATGTATCTGAATCAATCAAATGCCCTAAACATCACAATCGCTTCGAGTAGTAATGATGATGATAAAGCGGAGTTGATGGCGGAGGCCATGCCCATGACGGTAATGATTATCGGCGGCATTGCCGGTGGTGGCGATCATGTGGTGGTGCAACACCACTGAGTGCTGTTCTTCACAATCCCTTTTTTATCCCATAAACATGCGACGGATTTCGTTAACGAGTGCTCTGGGGGTTGCGCAATTTCTTTCTGGCCTTCTCGTGCATAGTTAAATGTTCGGTAGCCATGCCTTTTTAAGGGTTTCGATGCTGTCCGGATCTCCCAATTTCCGGGCCCGACAAAAACTCGTCTGTATATATTAATTAGCGCGAAAAAAAAAAGAAAGAAAGCCGCATATGGAAGCTATAGATTGTGTTCACATATCGAATTGGACAATTATGTGATTGCAAGCCATTGCAGAATCATCATCCATCATGTTCTTATAAATCGATTCATCCGTGCCGGTTCGTGCTATCTTTATTTTATCAAATAATGACAATTCATGTCGGTAACTTAGAACGGAATAAGGAAACTGTTCTAAATAAAGAAACTAAGATATTGCGCAGAGCTATTTATCAGTGTATCTTACAGATTTCCTTACGAGTGGAAGACCCAAAAAGAGCAGCAATATTTGATTTCTCGAAATATAAATTGCTCCAGCGGAAAGCAATATCTCGATATTCTAGGCAGAGAAAATCTCATATTCTCGACCGGGTGTGTACGGGAAGCGATTTCAATGGAGGTAGGCCTGCAAACACCGGCTCCTTTAGTTCTTCTCTGTTTCTCTTTCCTTCCGTCAAGCCGTTCTGGTCTGACTTGCTCCCATCTTTCCCTTTTGACCTGTCACTGCAGATTACCATGAGAGTGAAAGTCCATTGTTGCGGATCGTGCCAAAAGAAGGCCAAGACGATCTTGGAGCAAGCGGATGGTGTGTCACTTCTATTGCATGAGCGCATGATTTTGTCTTTACTCCTCTTTTTTGGAGCATAAGTTGATGTTCACAATAGGGAGCATATTATTTTTGGCCGTAGTGACCTCATGGCATGTTAATTATGCATCGCTATGAACTTGGGTTCGGTTTGGTTTGGCAGGAGTGCAAGCCATATGCATGGACATAGGCGAAGGCTTGCTGACAGTAGTCACTGGCGATGTAGAGCCTTTCCTGCTGATAGAGATGGTGGAGAAGGAGGTCAGGAAGAGGGTGGAGCTCCGGTCCTTCCAAAGGTACCCCGCGCGTGGTGGTTTAGTAGACGGCGGCGGCGGTAATGATGGGCGTCATGAAGCGATCAAAGAGGCCGACTTGCGCAGGGCGAGAGATAGGAAGAAGGCTGCTTGCTGTTGGGTTGACAAAGAAAGGGCAGGGCATGCCGATTCTGTCCCCGCGGGCCCGCACTGGCCGGGACGGGGAGGGTGTCATCCTATGGCTGGGCCGTGCCAGCATCAGGGAGATCCGGGATGGCCACCTTTCTGGAATCCGCACGGTCCGCTGCCTCCTCCTGAGTGCTTTGCGTCGCCTTGGTTCCCGCCGCCTTGCCATTGGTTCTGTCCTATGCCTCCACCACCGATGCAGCCGCCTCCGCCACGTTGCCACCACCATGAAGCGCACCGACCAAAGCACCGAACAAAGCAATGATCGGCTACAACAGACATGTTGAAATCTACTAGGGTTGCCTAATATTCCGTTATTACAACTCGTTTAGGTTCTTGAAGGACCAGCAATAAGATTGGTGAACCACCGATGCTGATGAGCCATGGTTTTGGACAAATTTTATCCGACAATACCTTATCCATTTGTCGTCCTTGTACTACTCTTGAACGAGCATTTAGTTTTCAAAGAAGCTACGATGGATCGTCTTAGCACAAATCAATCACTGACGCTTTTGGTTAGGCTTTAAAGCATCAATTATTAAGAACAAAATCGATCAAGCGAAAGAATGCCGATATCGAATCAACTCTTCGATCCACAGAATCGACCAGGCGAAATAAAGAACCGAAAAAAGCAAACGAAATGGAATACTAGAGATGGTCCATACTCCATCAATGGCTTAATCTCAGTAAGATTTCATAGAAAGACCAAAACCAGAGAAAGCAAACAAATAGAGGAAGTGGTGCACCAGCCGGGAATCGAACCCGGGCCTGTACTGGACGACCAAGTGAAAGAATGCCGCGATATCGAATCAATTCTTCGTTCCACAGAATCGACCAAGCAAAACAAAGAAACGAAAAAGCAATCAAAATGGAATACTAGAGATGGTGCGAAACAAAGAACCGAAAAAGCAAACAAAATGGAATACCAGAGATGGTCCATAATCCATCAATGGCTTAATCTCAGTAAGATAGGAGATGGTTCATATAAAGACCAAAACCAGAGAAGGCAAAAAAACGAGAGGAAGTGGTGCACCAGCCGGGAATCGAACCCGGGTCTGTACCGTGGCAGGGTACTATTCTACCACTAGACCACTGGTGCCATGTTGACAAGACACAGCAAAAAAATAATGATATATATTTTCTACATTTGGAGTTGAACGCCATCAGCTATCCTGAATTGGTGGACCAAAGAAAACAGAGCAGGGGTTGTGTGTGTGTGAGGATGTGAGGTTGAAGTTGGAAGCGGGAAATGGCGATTCCCATGCTCAGAGCTTCAGCTCCTCCTGCTCACTTGCGCGCGCTCTTCCACTCCAACGTGAAGAAGCCCCTCCATGTTCACAGACTGCCCTGTTCCCCGCCTGAACTAAACCCTGTCCTGCAAGCACAAAAGCATGTTCAGCCTCTTTCATTTGTCTTTTCCCGCATTCCCTATCTCTGGGTAATCTGCCAATTCTTGAATTCTTTTCCCCTTGTTTTGCAGTGAGGAGGTGACGTCAGAGTCAGGGTTGTCTCTTTTTGTTGGGACACACCTTATCCCACACCCCAACAAGGTGAATTCCCACAAGTCTTGCCGCATTGATGTAGTGATTATGTAAATGGGTCTTAGTATTTAGCGCTCAGATAAGAACAAATGCTAGGTATGAAAGAGTACCCAAATGCTAGGTCCTGTCCACATTACAATGAACTTTCTTGCTTCTTGGAAAGGTTGACAAAGGCGGCGAAGACGCTTTTCTGGTGAGCGGCTTCAATGGGGCAGTCATTGCTGTTGCTGATGGCGTTTCCGGGTACGTAACTGCAATCCCTAGGACAGATGCTCCAAGTTTCATATTTTTAATAGGATCAAGTGCTGGGAAAGCTGCCCTGCTGCTTGTTGACTGATCTGTGCTAGCTGAATTTGTTCTTTATCTGTATTGGTATGAGATGGCCATTTATAATGAGAGCAAAAGCAATGAGTATGTTGTGCTGTGAAGCATTGATTGATCGTCGATAATTAACTTGATGATGATTCAGACAAGTGATGACTGTGGGAAACTTGTGATTACCATGTTGCTGATTGTTCGCCAAATTGCTCTTTCGCTTGGCAGATGGGCTGAGCAAAACGTGGATCCTTCGCTGTTTTCTAAGGAATTGATCGCTCATGCTTTGTCTTTGCTCGGGGATGAGGAGGTAGACTTATTTCAAAGCAAATAAAAAATAGATTACTCGCTTCATCCATCTAATTAACACTCTCCTGAATCCTGATTTCCCTAGTGGTAGTTCTCTGGCAAGAAAATAGCAAATTAGAACTTTGCTTAAAATTTGAATTGCTGTGTTTGCTTATGGTAAGTGGGAACTTAAGAACCTGTACAGTGTTTCTCATTTGTCAGGCAAACTACAATCCTCGGATGCTTCTAAATGAAGCACATGCTGCTACCTCCTCTATAGGTTCAGCTACAATGTAAGTTATTTATACTTTTGACTTCACAATTTCAAGGTTTTTCAGATAATATGCCCCTAAAACGATGTATCTAAAGATGGTTCAGCCATTTATTTTACATATTTGCCTTTTTAACCAGAGTTGTTGCCATGCTGGAGAGAGATGGGATCCTGAGGATCGCAAATGTAGGGGATTGTGGATTAAGGGTTGTCCGAGGCGGTAACTTCTGTGTCGGATTTCATGATATTCTAACTCATTGGTTCTGTTTTATTTTGCTTTCAGATACTTGAAAACCACATGGTACTGAATTTGCAGGTCAGATAATCTTTTCTACGTCTCCGCAAGAGCACTACTTTGACTGTCCCTACCAGCTAAGCTCAGAATCAGTTGGCCAAACATATCGAGATGCTGTGGTATCGACAGAACATACTCCTCTCAGACTTCATTTTCTATCAGAAAATTTTTAATCAACAATATTATGCAAAGGCGAAGAAGCATAATTTACTGTTCGTCAATTCTCACAAGTTAGCCACCATACCCAGGGGTCGTAGGTGCTTCCACTAGTGAAAATATTCTGGCTTATTGTAAATTGACATCTTTCTCCTCTGTCTAAATCTTCTTTGAAATCCGCTACTGGTCTTCGCTGCGCTAGATATTAGCAATGTGAAGTATAGGAAAATTACACCTTAGCTGGATTTGCTGCGCAAAATGACTTTGCTAATATGTCATAGATGATTGATGCATGAGAATTTAGTCAGATGCGTGCTAAAAGGTTTGGTTGGTTTAGTCAAGTTGGGGTGTAGTTAAAACATAAATATCTCTTGACTGAATTTTTTCAGCTTATATCCTGCACTATGCAAACTCTTATTATTTCTGTTCACCAAGAATTTAGATTTCCTCACGTTCCTTGATAACCAGGTTAGCACTGTTGAAGTAATAGAGAAAGATACTGTCATTATGGGCTCAGATGGTCTCTTCGACAATGTTTTTGACCATGAAATTGTTTCCATATTGGCCAAACATGATGATGTTTCAGAAGCTGGTAGGTTTTGCTCAAATATTAGAAAGGTCCTGCAGTACGTGTGCTCAACTCTAAATGGACATTGGTTCATTGTTAGCAAAGGCATTGGCTAATCTCGCAAGAGAACACTCCGTGGACTCAAGTTATGATTCCCCCTACTCCATTGAGGCTAGAACAAGGGTGATATTGCAAAACCAACTTATTTGCCACTGATTAAGAGCTTAGATTACTAGGTACAAAAATATTACGTTGTCATGAGGCTGAAGACTATAGTTTTGCAGGGTTTTGATGTTCCTGTGTGGAAGAAAGCACTTGGGTTTAAGCTTACAGGCACGGGCCACGGCCTCCCTTTCTCTTTCTCTCTGTTCGTGTGTGCTGTTTCACGTATCTCTGAGAAATATTATCTTTTCAACTTCATCTCTGTCGTAAGTAGTTCATGTCTGTTGCTGTCAGGTGGAAAGCTCGACGATATAACCGTAATTGTTGGTCAAGTTGTTAGACCACATGGATCCTGAGACGCCCCGATTGTGTTTTTGAATGAAGTGCGAGAGAACTAGACGCGGGATTATGTCTTTTCCGCTTATCAGAGTAGAGTCTTTTGGAGAAAGTAGTTTTCATAATGTCAAAAGTTTGGCATTTACAGGGACATCATGGTATGTCTGTATTCTTTTGGGCTATCATGGTATGTGCTGTGGAACCACTAATTGTGCTTCTTTCTCTAAAGTTGAAATCATACAGGGACAGAATCTCTCTCTCTCTCTCTCTCTCTCTCTCTCTCTCTCTCTCTCTCTCTCTCTCTCTCTCTCTCTCTCTCTCAGTAGACAACGGACTCAAAAGATGCTTCCATTACCCAGTTCAGTGTTCATGGAAGAGACTTCAATAACTCAAGTATCAAGAATTCTAAAAGAAAGCAGCTATTCCTCGTGTATTCCAAAAGAGATTGGAGCTTTTGTGTAGTTGCCTACACAGCAAAATTCGATACTAAGTTTTACAGAAACAATTCTGCCAGAAATCAAATGAATCCACTCAGCTATGATTGATAATATTATTTAAATCGCCAGAAGTGTGATATGAATACATTAATTCAACCTAATCAACTCATTTTGTTGTCGGGAGCAACTGCAGGCATGTTCCGAGTATGATTACTCCTCTCCTTCTCCAATGCCTCAAGTCAAGCAGACTCCGCAAGAGAAAGATCTCCACATCATATTTCGCTTCAATAGTGTGCAGAGTATTGGTGCCCCGGCAGGGTAACAAAGAACAAAACTGTGGCAATGGGTTTTCAGGTGACAACACGATTAGTGCTATTACTGTTAAGTTCCTCGAAAAATGACTTCGAGGCTTCATAAGTAGACCAGCAGATTGCAGCAGCAGGAGCATGGAATAGCATCCTAGGCATCCATCCTCTCATGAGCCCTCTGTATCCATCCTTTTCTATTATCGTTCGAAAGACATCCCTCATTGAACCAGTCTTAAATCTATCGCATCCACAGACACCCTGAAAGAAAGCAATGTATATGAGACAAAAATTACATAACACTACCCAGATATCACAACACAAATCTTCATAAACTTTAAGGCTTAGTGTGAAATTCAAATGTTAAAACTTAAAGACTCATTAACTATGCTTTCATATGTAAATTTCCTATTTGACATGCAGGAAATAAAAACGAATGCCTTTTCTATTATCATAGTGTCTCGATAAGTATTCTTCTTTCTTTTATTTACCTTAACTGGTCTACTAAGGACACTTGTTATCAAGATATGTATGAAATGCTAGTTCCAAACCAAACACACCATTGTTTTTCTAACAAGATACTCCAGGATTGTTCAAAAGTGCTCAGAAGTCATCCCACGGATCAAATGAGAATAACACGTCAGAGCACTGGCCAATCATGGGCTTCGCCACTCCTGACTGTATACTCTTCCGGACCAATAACCATTACCTATGCGGACTGAAAACAAGACTCGTTGTCAATTAGTTTAAGCACCCATGGCAAAAGCCCATTAACATGAAATACTTCCTCACAGTATTTCTGGTTCCCTGATACAAACACCTTTTCTTTTTATCTTTGTTGACATTACTAGCAAATTCTTTTGGTTTATAAAGTAAATCCCACTAATGCAAGGTAAAAGAATCAGCTTCAACCTTAGCAAATGCTTTTGGTTTATAAAGCAAAAACCACCATAAGAGGGAAAAGAAAAACAGAACACCAGCCAGGTGAACTCAAACTCCGTGACTACACACGATGACAACTGAGTACCAACTCTTAGATATGCCTTAAAACGTGGTCGACAAACCTTAAGATGTGACTTAGCCACAAGGCCAACAACAATATGCTAGATGAGAACGATCCCATTCCAATAAGATATGGAGCGGTGATGCTAATAATTGGAACGAAATTGCAACCCTGCTTGTCTAATGATGAAATCGATTTCGAAGCTTGAACCATATTTCCCGTCCAAGACTAGTAACTGGAAAGACTGCTACCAAACTATGTATAATATCTATTTCTTCCTGTCATTCAAAAAAGAACAAAACCAGAGTAACTGGCAACATCCAAAGATTTGTTCTGTCTTTACCTGACACTGCAGCTGAGTCTTCACGACATCAAGAGGGGTTGTAACAGCAGCTGCCAGTGCCCCAGCACCAGCTCCTGCGGTGGCGTGAACAACCCAACCTTCATCATTCACACTTTCCGGCGAAACCTCCACTAAACCCCTCTTTGCAGCCTCATATGTCGCAAAATGCACGGCAGTAAACGGAGCATTCATGACGACAGTAGTCCTATACGATGCATAAAAAGCCCTAAGTCCCTCTTCCTTCATGACGCTCCTCACGCAATCAAAAACCCCTTTGTAAGGACTGTTGTTCAACTGCAGTCTCTGCTTGACCATATCCATCGGCGTAAACACGGCGTCGCTGGCGACCGTGGCGCACACCCCGGACGCGGCGTGGGCGGCCGAATTGTTCGGATTCCCGCCGGAGAAGAACTTCTTGCAAGCCTCGTAGACCGAGAAGTACACGGCGTGGGCTGGCCCGGCGCCGAGCCCCATGGCGCCGATGCCCCGGTACAGACCCATCGGACCGTCCGACTTCAGTATCGACAGGAGGGCCTGCCGGAGGCCCACCGACTTGATGGGGCAGGAGCCCATCGCCTGCATGTGGGTCTTGAGCGTGTCCACGGGGAACATGGCCATGTGCTCGACCGACCCCGCGACCGACCCAGCGATCATGAACTGCCAGAAGCGGAGGCCGTCGTGGGCGGCGACGGCGACCTCCGGGCGGAAGTCGGGGGGCGGCGGCACCGGGCGGAAGTCCCGGTTCTGGAACTTGGGGGTGGCGTCCGTGGCCGCCATGCGAATCTCGAATTACAGCTATGGGGCGGGGGGGATGTATTGAGGCTCAACGACTGCTTTCCACACCGTGACTACGACGACGACAACGATGACAACGATTTCTAAGCCACCGTGAAAGCGAGCTATCGGTGGAGAGCGGGGGAAGAGATCGCCGGCGGCGGGGGAGGGCCGTCGGGCCGGCCGCACGGCGGCGGACAAGATCCGAGGATGCTGTCGGGAGGATTTTGATTTTTGGGGGGGAGGGGGTCGGATTGCGCAATTAGGGTTCCAAGAATTTTGGGGGAAGTTTTTACTTTTTATGGCTTTTGGTCTCTGATTTTTTTTTCTCTCTCTCTCTCTTTTTTTTTTTTTTCTCCTTGTCTTCTGCTTCGGCTCAGCTAGCGATGGAGGCGATCGGTAACCGCCCCGTGACCCCAGGATAACTACCAGTCGTGGGGGCACGTGCAATGCACGCGCACCATCTCCCAAAATAGTGGGTACCCTGAAAAAAAAAAACCCCAACTTTATTTTCGGTGCCCAATTCTACCCAAAACTTTTTTTTTTGGTCTCGTAAAAACCATCAACTTTAGGTCAGGTCTCAATTTTACTCGAAACTTTTTCTTTCGTCTCATAAAACACCACGGCTTTGGGTTCAGTTCTAATTTTACTTGAGTCCCAAGTCTGTCCCTATTAACCTTTTATCCAAAATCGCCCTAAGTGATCTTATGTGGCATTTTCACGTCATTACAATCCAAGAGGATGTCATTTGGAGATGAGTTTCCTTATGAGCCCCAAACAATGTCTTCTTGGATTTGAAAATTGGGTAAAAACTAGAACAATTGGGGTCAGTTTTCTTTAATTATTCTTACTCTTAGGAGAGTCTTCCTTCCATATCGTTCGGGGATATTCGATTTTGCGCTCGATCTTCCAGCTCTCGTGCTCAGGAGTTGGCGCTCGAGGCGCTCGGCTCGAGACGCTCGAACAAATCGTGCTTGGGAGTTTCCCATCTTTCGGTTGTCACCAAGAAATTTTGGATGGAGTGTTAACGGCGGTAGATTTGTAACTCAAGTAAAAATTAGTTGTTTTTTGCGAGACCAAATAAATATTAGGGTAAAATTGGAAATGAACGGTAAAATAAGGATAAGACCTAAAGTTGGGAGTTTTTCATGGGAAAAAAAGAGTTTATGGTAGAATTGGGGTTAGATCTAAAGTTGAGGATTTTTTTATGGGACAAAAAAAAAAGTTTATGACAGAATTGAGACTGGATCCTTAAGTTGGAGCTTTCTTTAGGGTATCGGGCCCTCCAAAATGTAATCATAAATGGAATATATATTAGGGAAAATTGACATAAATAAAGAGAAAAAATATTGCATAGTTTGAAGTTTGTCACCAAACGTGAAAGAGATCATACATAAATAAATGTGAAAAGGAAGGAAAAAAAATATATATATATTCGGTACCCTTTTCTTTTTTATGGGAGTATCCAACTCAACCATGAAGAAGATCTCATTGAGAATTGAAAGATGGAGGGTGAGCTCGGCTAGGCTTCCCCATTCAGGGCATGGAATCAGAGAGCACTTGACCACTTTGTGCTGTTTGCGCAATCAAATTCCTTTCGTCATCTAGATATTAAATTAACACCGCCGCCACACGAAGCGAATGCTGCTCTATCGCACAGCCCCGCCGCGATCTCGTCCATCTCGGAGCTCGGAAAAGAGAGGAAACTTCCTAGGGAACTGCGCGGCTGGCGATCCAACCGTCTCAAATGATCCACGGTCTATTCCAAGCCGACTCGTCTTGTGGCCTTTCTCATGTTCCTAAATACTTGCATTATTTCTCGCCGTTAGAATATGTTTCGATTTTGAGCCCGTTGAATTAAATCCGACCAGTGTTAATTGTGTGGAAGCCCGACCAGGATTGAAGTGGAAGTCAACTGAGAAGGGATGATTGGTTCTGTGTAATATTCATAAGTTGTCTCTTCATGTATTTGAGAAGAAGTAGGTGATTTAGTGGCGTCCCAAGATCCTTTGTGGCTTTACATCCTGGTGCGCATCTCCTCGTGAATTACATCTTGGGTGGTGTTTGTGAGATTAAGATATCATTTCGAGAGAAATTTTTTGAAAGCCGAAAGGTTTATGTAAGATTATTTGGTATAATTAGGGACGTGAAGATATTGGTTGTCATATACGTCATATCGCTTGATAGATAATGTAATTATGTGAACTCTCCTCGTGGAGCAGGTCACACGACCGAGCCTCGTAACTGCACTATCCAAATTACTTTCTGTCTATAGCTTTGTCCAAACGTTGTCGGAGTTAGCTGAAATTTCATTATATTGTCCATGCAACCGAGGTCTACAAATTATTCGGCTTCGTTTGTTGAAATCGTTCTCCAAATTATCTCTTGTAATCTCCAATAGTAGTTAGATTTTCTTACGCCATTTCTGTTAATCCACCTTCGAGACGATGAAATGCTATTTTATTGTTGATGTTGAGCCTCTAATGTGTAACTAGAGAAGAACCTTTGTATATCATACTATATTTGATGAGCGGTCCGTGGCTTTTCCCGCATTAAGTTTTCCACGTAAAAATCTTGGTATTGTTGTTGTTGTTGTGTCTTTTTAATATTTCAGAATTAGGTTCGCTTATTTTGAGGTTGTGTTGCGAGAATATACTGCTGTTTATTGCTATTGCACGGGTAAAGTTGATTTTGGTCGGTTTAGTTTTGGGGAAGAAATTGATCATAAATTGAGTTAGTTCTTAGTGAAGTGTTGCCCAGATCTCTCCAACAAAAGATCTGGGCAAGTTGTAAGCTTCCGTCGGATGTCAGCAAAACGACACTAGAAGTGCCAAAAGTTTCGTGCAGCGCTCACTTTAGTGCCAAAAGTTTTCTCCGATTCATTTAAGTGCCAAATCGGAGAAAAACGATCGTTTAAGTACCTCCGCCGAGAAATTCCAGCCAAATGACTACGTGGCTTTTATAATTGAAATTTTAATAACAATCGACGTATTATTTTTTTAAAAAAAAATTCCAGTCCCGCGTGGCTCAATCCAACTTGGCTGAGTAGTGCAAAGCAACGTCGCTTAATCCAGTCTAACCCATCCGATCCAAAAACGACATTTGACGCTCCACTCCCCGGCATAAAAACGACTCCCGTGTCCCGCCGCACCACCATCCGACGTTCGCTACCTACCATCCATCACCGCCCACCACAAAGGAAAAAACTCACTCCCAGCCACGCCGCCGCCAACCCATGCACGGCCATCATTGTCCCACGCACGATCACCATCAATCACTACGCCGCCTCGCCATTCTCCTGAAGGCGTCACCCAGCCGAGCATGGGAAAGAGACATAGACGATCGCCAATATTTCTGGGGCAGCCGCCATAGACGATCGCCACCTATACCATTCACCGCCCCTCGCTGGTCGTTGGCGAAGCCGCGGTCAGCTTGTCCCGTTTCTTCTTCTGTCTTCTGGCGAAGAAGGCTTGGGAGAGTTTAGGACTCACCCGAAGCTCGTTCACCGGTGTCAACCACTAGTGACGATTTTCCTCACCGTTTTCAAGCCGCTGGAGCCACTGCCGACCGTCGCCATTCGTCGTCGTCCGAGAGCGAACATAAGAGTAGCTTTGTTCTGCATTGTTTCTCGGCCAGGATGCTTGAAGTGCTTCCAGCTTGTTCGATCCTCCTCCGCCGGCTTTGAATCGTTTGCGACGATGCCACTAAGACCTTCCCTTACCAGTTGAATAATTAACGGTCACAAAAAATGGCTGTCTCCGTCGATTCTCATTGCAGTCGCCATTGCTCTGTTTCAACCCACGTCGAGCTTTACCCACTTCTTTTGGCTGGGAAAGCTCGAAGTGGCTCGCACACGTTTGAAGACCTATCCCCGACACCCATCAGCTTAGGGTGCGCATGACAACCATTCTGTGCTCGGGAACTATTTCTGAAAAGAAATGATTTTTTTTTATTCTGTGCCCGGAAACAATTTCTGTGCATTTGAAGGCGTTTGGTAAACTGTCCAAAATTTCTATTCTTGGAATAGAAAAGAACATAAATGCGTTTGGTAACTACACACAAATTTCTTTTTATTAATAATATTTTAATAATATTTTGAATTGTTTAATTTTTTTTTTCTTTTTACCCAGGCCATGGCCGGTCGCCGGCGACCGGCCACAACCCAAGAAGAGCAACACAAAAAGAAAAAAAAGAAAAAGAAGAAAAAAAACTGATTCTCAAAATTGTGCCGAGAAACAAGAAGTAACTTTTTTTTACTTCTTGTTTCTCTTCTAAAACTGTTTCTCGGCACAAATATTTGAAAAAATGTGCTCGGGAACAAAAAGTTTACCAAACGCATTTCTGTTCCCAAACTATTTCTGGGAATAAAAGAATAGAAATTTTCACTGTTTGGCACGTTACCAAACGGGCCCTTAGGCGACTTTTTTAGAGCCTCTGGGTTCGGATTCCGTAATTGCAGGCAAAGGACTCCTTCAGCCAAGTAATTTCATCGTCCCTATTCTCCCCTGTTTTGGTGAAGTTTGAGGCTGAGAATTGTCCACGTCACTCATGTGTAAATCATTGAAATCCGAAGTCTCGTTTGGTGAGATCATATCGATGTTCCAGTGTCAGTTCATGGCCAAGATGTTCTTCTTGAACTCGGTAGCCCACAATAAGAATAATATTCATCTTCTTCTTCACTTCATTAAAACGAATTTGAGCCGCTCGTCATGTTTCTGCTCTCCATTTGCAAAATTGAGCTGTTAATTTTGGGAACAAACCAAATTAGGATTTTGATTTTGGGTTGAATGGTCCTTAGGATTTCGAATTGGGAAATTTCTTTCAATTTGCAATTTAGGGTTTATATTTTGGGGCAAACGTCGTAGACGACGCCATTTAGGGCTTTATATGTTAACTGGGCACGCCGGCGGGCCACGTCGATCGCAGAAATTAATAAAATGTGGCAATTTTGGATTTCCAGCTATCCAAATCGGAATTAGTACTTAAGTGATTTTTTTTTTAAAGTGGCACTTAAGTGATCCAAAAAAAAAAATTTATCACTAGAATGAGCGTCGTACGAAACTTTTGACACTTCTAGTGTCCTTTTGCTATCGGATGTCACTGCCTTTGTATCCACGGCAACGATTGTAGGTGACTTCACCATTTCTGGGAGAGTCGAGACATAATAATTGGAACGTGATTTTTGTTTTGTTTCGGAGTACAAGAGCAACCCAATTCCATCCAAACAAAAACAATTGTGAATGGGCTTACCAGACATATCAACAGGAAGTTGTCAGTTTGTTCAAGAAGATGGAAGTGATGAAGGAAAGAAAAAGCCGAGGCCGCCATCGGCCAAAACGATGCCGCCATCGGCCAAAACGATGCCGCCAGGATACTTCATAGAATCCGGCTGCGGACTGCCCCAGAAACGAAATTGTCAGCCGATAATGAAGCCGATCCAGCAGTTCTTCGAATGGAGCTTCCATCTTGGTGAAAACAGCCTCCACAAATTCAGAGAAACGTTGAGCCCGTACTCGCTCGGGGCAGGAGCAAGTACAGGACTGTCGCGCAGAATACAAGCTGAGCCCTCGGAGATGAAGAAGGTAAGGGTGATGTTGGGGGTTCTGGCCATGAATGCTGCAGAAGTTCATCATGGGGTTGATGTGGCCTCTTCCAGGATAGAGCAATGTCACCTCGCGAAAGGTGCCGGTGGCAGTGGCCGTCGTGCTGGTGGTGGGCGGTGATCTGAAGTCCATTTGTGGGCGCTGGTGGTGACTGTGTGATAAGACAGCGTCCTCCGACTTTGATGCTAATCAGAGTACCGCGTGATTACACTTACAATCAAATATAGCTCCACTAGGTGATCAAAGTGTAGCGAACCATACATGGTACATGAGTTGCCTAATGCCTATCAGTGCACGGAGTGTTCAAATGAATTTTTTCATCCAGAAAGAACGTTTCGACCCAATGTGGTGAGTCGGCTCATCAACGACTCCTATTGATGCCAAATAATTGAGGTTGTGTACAGCTCATTCCGGCTCCCCCTTTTGCGGTTGTCCCCGGACCACCACTTGAGAGTTATTCCGTCAGGAAGACATTCCATATAGGTAACTGGCGTGCTGTTGATAGTTGGGTCCGCTATGTGTGTTGTACTGATTCTGTCCTAAAAATCTTGCCTATCAATTTAACTGCAGAAACATCACTGATCAACTCATACATTAAACCTTTCTGAACTATCATTGCAATAGGAAATGTCCCTGAAGAAGGCATTGATGTTGGTCTCAGTCGATCCATCTTTTCCGATCGCTTGCCAACATACCTCCTGGAGATGCTTGGCCTGTCTCCTGATCTCTCTGCTTTCATTGTCTTCCAAATCCATGAGCTTACGCATGAGCCCTGTGATATCCGTGCCCACCCTCCATCCTATTTTCCAGTCTTCGACGACTAGTGATGCATTACGGTGTTGATCCATAGCTATGGGATATACGAGCATAGGAAATCCCATGAAAACAGCTTCCAAAATGGAATTCCATCCACAATGCGTCCAAAACCCGCCAACCGACGAACGTGACAGCACCCTCAACTGGTCGCACCATGGCACGACTATTCCCCTATTGCTGCATAACTCTTTCAACCTCGAGGCTTCCTTGTGCCCCGTCCACACGAAACGAATGCCACTGTCACGCAAACAGCCTGCAATCTCATCCCTCTTAGAGCTGGAGACCGAGAGAAAGCTTCCGAGGGAGATATATAGGACGGAATCGCTTGGCTCACGGTCCAACCACTTTAAGTAATCGGCTTCATTCAAACAAGAGTCATCTGCAAGTCGAGAGAGAGGGATGGCCAGACCGATGGTGTAGACTGGGAACGACAAGCTAGCTTTAACAGCATCGACAGCCGGACAATCCACCTCATACACAGCCGCGAGCAAGAGATACTTAGACTCACGTGCAATCTTAAGAGCGTCAAGGAAGTCTTGTAGGATTGGATCATTCCTCCCAGAACGGATCAAGTCTGCTAAGCGTGTAGGAGGAAGTCCAGGAATGTAATCGACCTGCTCGTCCCCTCTTTCTGTGACAAAGCAAAGACAAAGCAGAGTACATCAAATAGACCCAATCTTCGCGCACATCAACGACTGCTTTTACTAGTTTCTTCAATGCACTGGGATTCAGATGCAGCTGGCACACCGTGTCTCTGCTTAAGCGGTCACCTCTATACAGGAATTCCAATTCAACTGAACTGAACTGAAAGCATTTCAGGCTTGCCATCTTTATTGGTTGGTCATCTTGTCCATCCATATAAAACTTTAATCTGGAAAATTTTAGACGGTGGAGAAGCTACGGAGCACGCGTTCTGTGATCTGAATGGCCGATTGAAAAGTTTGAGGAACAATGGTGAAACTCATTGTTCAGATTTAGCGGAATAGATTATGCCAATCACAGGTCAAGAAACAGGCAACTCCTACTTAGAAAAACAGAAATTCTCAAAAACATAATTGGTTATCCAGAGTCCTAAATTGGCCCTAAACTGTTCTGTCCTTTTAGGCCTACCAAGAGCAACAATGATAAGACAAAACGGAGACTGAACTTACCAGACAAATCAACCGGGAAGTGACCGTATCGTTCCAGAAGATGGAAGTGATGGAAGAAAGAGAAAACCCAGGCCGACATCGGCCAGAACGATGCCACCGGAATATTCCTCCAGTTCCCCGTGCGGACGGCCCATTTCAGCGAAGTGTCGGCCAGGATGATAGTTGGCACAGGCCGGAGCCAATCCAGCAGCTCCTCAAATGGATCTCCCATCTTCGTGAAAACAGCATCGGAGAATTCGGAGTAGTGCTGAGCTCGGACCAGCTCCGAGGGGAGCACGTTGGGGATGGCGGCCAAGGATATGTTGGCGGGCTTAGGCTCGGAACCGATGAAGCCGAGCCACTCCTCCGTCACAACGAAGGTGATGGCGATGTCTGGGACTCGGGAGGACAGACTCCTGCAGAAGTTCATCATGGGGTTGATGTGGCCTCGTCCCAGGTACGGCATCGCCACCATGTGGAGGCTGCTGGCGGCTGCCATGGCGGAAGTTGACGACCCTGGAGCTTCCATTTTCTTGAAGTTGCTAGGGCCTAGGGGCGTCCAAACAGGTGGATTGTTCTTGGAGTTCAATCACGGTTGTTGAACTTTGGTGAGTTGACTCATCGATCAGCGGATGGGGAATAGGGGCGAGCATGGTTCCAGGTTAGAACCTGAAGCCTAAGAACCTGATCAGTAGGAACCTGTAGGTTTCAGGTTCCAAGGTATATCGGGTAAGTTCTAGATTTGGGAATCTGTTTCGATGCGTGGGTTCCAGTTTCTAGGTAGGTGAACCTGGAACCTGAAACCTAAATAAGTTTTTTGTGTTTTTTCTTGATCTATGTCTTCATGTAATCATGCGGTGTTTCATGGCGTTAGATGATGAGTATATAATTTGAAACTATTAGTATAAGTTTTCATTTTATGACTTGTTAATGTTTCATATTTTTCGTGTGTCTAAATATAAGTTATGATTAGTGGATCATAGCAGAAAGTAGTGGTTGTTAAATATGATAATTCACTGCAATTGTTCAATTAATAATACAGGTGAAACCTGAGTAGACCGTGAAACCGACTCTCGAACCTGTGATAGGATAGGTTTCAAGTTGCAAAAAATGAGGGACTTATTATCATGGGTGGAATCTATACGGAACATAGAACCACTCACTCCTAGTATTGATTCATGCAATGAGTTCTCATTTTAATTATATTTATTTGAATCGTAATGACAGGAAAACTAGTCTTTTGTATTTTCTTTAGTAAATGACAAGCTTGTTCAGTATTGTTGCGTTAATGAAATAAATAAATAAAAAGAACATGTTAGACCTTGGAACCTGTGTAAGGTAAGTTCCAGGTTTCAACGGATAGGTTCCAGGTTACAAAAAATGAGGACCCTATACGTGATGGTAGGTTCCAGGTTCATGGAACCTGGAACCGCTCACCCCTAGTGAGGAAGGTACAACGACGTATTAGTGTCCGCCCTTCTCCCTCACCACCTGCTTTTGTCGTTTCCTAGTCATTGTGAAGAGAGAAATTATTATATGATAAAGAAATTTACAAGATTAATACTAACTGAAATTTTGCCATACATAATTCAAGATTTGATTGGGAATATATCCATTCACAAAAAAAACATGATGAACTCTATTTGGTTCGAATTCGCCTCGACGAAGAAATTCCTTTTTACCGAAATTCGTTTTTCGATTTTTATTAGAGGAAACATCTTTTGTGGTGACTCCAGACACGAAATATCACAGTTACACAAGGAAACCAATAGGTATAGTTTAACGTAATTTAATCGACGTTAAAGTACACAAGATAAAGATACAACATCAAAATAATTTCGACGAAGCACCTGGATCTATAGCAAAGATACATGCTGGAATTTGATCGGCAAAGAGATATTTGGAAACTACAACTAAATACACACGGAAATTGAATCGACGATGAATTATCTGAAAGCTACGGATATGACTACAATATGGCAATTGAAAGATAACAAGATTTGTTTGTGTGCAGGGATCTACAGTACACAAACACTGGTATTTATTATTTATAATGTTCACAACATAACTGTCTATAAGTAGTTCTTCAGCAGTTTAGTCATACCTTCACATCTCCGAAATTTTCGGTTCTATATTTTCACATCGCCACGCTTCTCATCTCCCGGTGGTTCCTAAATTCAAGTAAATGAATAACTTCCTAATCTATGTAAGGTTACAAGGACTTACAATAACATTTATACTCAAGAAGCTCAAATATTCGAAAATATTGCTACTAGGCAGTTACACGTTATTAACTTCATCCTAGATAACTAATGTTTGTTGTCGATAACTCATTGGTTGTCCATGCTCTTCAACTTGTCTCATTGGTTGTCCATTATCTTCAAGCTGTCAACATTTATCTAAAACAACTAAAATATCTGAAAATATCACTAATAAATTTTTCGCCTTACCGAAAAAAAAAAAAAAAAAATTTTTGAATATTTTTTCTTTCTTTTTCTTCCATGCCTGTGCTGGCACCAGCCTCGCCTGGGCGAGGGCAAGCGTCGGCGAGGCCAACCCTCTCCCAGGCTAGGGTGGCCTCACCATGGAAGTGATGGGCTCGAGCTCGAGGGTCTGTTCAGTGAAGGGTACGAGCCACTCGGCGTGTTCAATTGGGGCAATCGCTTCCCTTTGCTGGGTTGGCTGGATCTGTGGGGCGCGAGGAGAAGGCATCAGGAGCTCTGCGAGACGGTGAACGTCTTCATGGGTCGGATTGTGGAAGATCACAGGATGAAGAGGAAGGTGATAGGTGAGGGTTGTGGAGATTCCTTGCTTGATTTGGAGAAGAAGAACCGTCTCAGTGAATTGCATACTTCCCTGTGCAGTTCCTCCTACTTTTTGTCATACAATGACCTCTAAGTTCAAATTTAAATTCAGAAACATCACTGATCAACTGATACATTACACTTTCTAAACTTCACTGAAATGGGAAATGTCCCTGAGGAAAGAATTGATGTTAGTCTTGGTCGAACCATCTTTTCCGATCGCTCGCCGACATAACTCCTGGAGATGCTTGGCCTGTCTCCTGATCTCTCCGCTTTCATAGTCTTCCAAATCCATGAACTTACGCAAGAGCCCTGTGATCTCCCCGCCCACCCTCCATCCGACCTTCCAGTCCTCAACGACTAGCGTTGCATTACCGCCTTGATCAATAGCGATGGGATATGCAAGCAGAGGAACTCCGGTGATAACAGCTTCCCAAATCGAATTCCATCCGCAATGCGTCCAAAACCCGCCAACCGACGAATGTGACAGCACCCTCAACTGGTCGCACCATGGCACAACTATTCCCCTATCGCCGCACAACTCTCTCAACCTTGAGGCTTCCTCGCGTGCCACCCACATGAAACGAATGCCACTGTCACGCAAGCACCCTGCGATTTCATCCAACTTAGAGCTGGAGACCGAGAGAAAGCTTCCGAGGGAGATATATAGGACGGAATCACTCAGCTGACAGTCCAACCACTTTAAGTAATTGGCATCATTCAAACAAGGGTCATCTGCGAATCGAGAGAAATGGATGGCCGGACCTATAGTGTAGACTGGGATAGACAAGCAAGCTTTAAGAGCATCGACAGCAGGATATTCCACCTCATACACAGTCGCAATCAAGAGATACTTAGCCTCATGTACGACGCTCAATGCATGAAGGAAGTTTTGTAGGGTTAAATCAGTACTCCCTGAACTGATCAAGTCCGCTAAGCGTGTCGGAGGAAGCCCGGGAATGTAATCGACCCGCTCGTCCCCTTTTTCTGCGACAAAGCAAACAAAGCGGAGGACATCAATCAGACTCTATCTTTGCGCACATATAGCAAAGGCCGCTTCCACTAGTTTCTTCGATAAACTGGAGATTCGGACACAACTGGCACACTCTATCTCTGCATTAGCAGTTATCGCTATACAGGAATTCGAATTCAACTGAACTTGACTGAAAGCATTTCAAGCTTGCCATTATTGGTTGCTCATCTTGTCCGTCAAAACACTAAAACTTCAATCTCAACATGCATTCTGTGATTTGAATGGCCCATTGAAAAGCTTGAGGAACTATGGCGAAACTCATTGTATAGATTTTTACCTGCCGATTATGCTAATTTTGGGTCAAGAAACTGAAACCCCCTTTAGAAAACAGAAATTTTAGCAAAGTAATGGGTTATCTACAGCCCTAAACTGGCTCCATAGTGTCGGGTGTTTTTAGGCCTGTCAAGCATTGTGTAACCAGAGACACTGTTTCGACCAAACAAAAAAAACCAGAGACACTGTAATTGCAGCACCAGAACTCAGCGACACGGCTATAGCAAGACAAAACGGAGACTGAGCTTACCAGACAAATCAACCGGGAAGTGACCGTGTTGCTCAAGAAGATGGAAGTGATAGTAGAAAGAGAAATCCCAGGCCCCCGATGGCCAGAACGACGCCACGGGAATATTCCTCCGGTTCCCCGCACGGACGGCCCAGCTCAGGAAAGTGTCGACCAGGATGACGGTCGGCACAGGCTGGAGCCGATCCAGCAGCTCCTCGAACGGACCTCCCATCTTGGTGAAAACGGCATCGACGAATTCAGCGTAGCACTGAGCCCGGACCAGCTCTGAGGGGAGCACGTTCGGGATGGCGGCCAAGCATATGTTGGCGGGCTTAGGCTCGGAACCGAGGAAGCCGAGCCACTCCTCGGTCACAACGAAGGTGATGGCGATGTCCGGGACCCTGGAGGACAGAATCTTGCACAAGCTCATCATGGGGTTGATGTGTCCCCGTCCTGGATATGGGATCGCCACGATGTGGTGGCCGGCGGCGGCGGAGGTTGATGACGACGGAGCTTCCATTTTCCTGAAGCTGCGAGGCCGTCAAACCAGTAAATCTTTCTTGGAGTTCAATGGAGGTTGGCGAACTTGGTTGAGTTGACTCATCGATCAGCGAGCCGGGCAGGTAAAACAACGAAGCTAGCGTGCGTCCATCTCCTCCGCCGCATGCGATTGTCGTTTCCTCGTCACGGTGGAGCGAAAAATTGTCATATGATAAAGCACTGTACGAGTTTGACCGTAAGTGGGATTTCGTCGTATATTTGAACCGTCATATATGAAGGGTCATTGTTCATGAAAATACACAAGAAGAAGAAATTTTGTCAATATATGTAGAAAGACGAAAGATTCAAAATTCAAACTCTGCTTGAGGAAGGTTGTTGTACGTAGGGGTGATCGGTTCCTTTGGGAACCGGGGACCAAACCAATTGGTCCTAGTGGTTCGGTCCGATTCCGGTCCAATCTAAAGGAATCGGTCACTTTTTTTTCCCATTTAAAAGTAACATTATGTTCTCCATGCCGGCTACACATAATCACAAAAACAACCGTGCAATTCAAGCCAATGCGGTGACGAATTGTATTCCTCATACCGACTATACATATGTTGTAAAATTTGAATTGTATTCCCTATACCGACTACACATAATTACAAAAAAAAAGTGTATGTAGTCGGTCCAGTTTCCCTTGAAACCGGGATCTAGACCGCCCGAATACCGGTTCCACTTTTAGGAACTAGGAACTGGACCAACACTCCCGAGAACCGGACCAAACTGTCCGGTTTGGGCGGTTTTTCGGTTTGGGCGGTCCGTTTTGCACACCCCTAGTCATATGATAGACCCCTGAATTTTGATACTGAAACATTTGAGGATATTCAAGAAAATAAAAGAAAAAATTGCGATCCTTAAAATAAAGGGTTAATACCACGAAAAATCCTAAACTGATACACCTGTGACAAATTTACCACAAACTATTTTTTTGATCACAAAAAATCCCAAACTGGTACACCTGTGACAATTTTACCCTGAACTATTTTTTTGACCACTAAAAACCCCAAATTGGTACACCTGTGATAATTTTAGCCTGAACTAATTTTTAATATTATTTTTTACTTTTTCGAATTTTTTTATTTTTTCTTTTCTTTTCTTTTTCCTTTCCTTTTCTTTTTTTTTTTTCCTTCATCTTCTTTATCTTCAACTTATGGTCGGCGAGGTCGGCCTTGCCCATCCCTGGCGAGGTTCAACCTCGCCAGTTGCTGGCGAGGGGTCATCCTCGCCGTCGCTAGCGAGGCTCGGCCCCGCTGGCAACTGGCGAGGTCGGCCTCGCCCAGAAGCAGCGAGGTTGAGCCTCGCCAGCGACGACAAGGACGACCCCTCACCGGCAACTAGCGGGGTCGAGCCTCGCCAGCGACGGCGAGGACGACCCCTCTCCCGCAATTGGCGAGGTCGAACCTTGCCAGGGGTGGGCAAGGCCGACCTCGCCGTCGTTGGCGAGGCTCAACCTCACCGCTTCTGGGCGAGGCCAACCTCGCCAATTGCCGACGAGGCCGAGCCTCGCCAATGACGGTGAGGCCGAGCCTCGCCAGTGACGGCGAGGACGACTCCTCGCCGGCAACTAGCAAGGTTGAACCTCTCCAGGGGTGGGCAAGGCCAACCTCGCCGGCTGCCGGCGGGGCCGGCCCCCGCCTCTGGCCGGTCGCCGGTCGGGGACCGGCCATAGGTTGAAGATAAAGAAGATGGAAAAAAAAAAAGGAAAGGAAAAAGAAAAAATAAAAAAAATTTCGAAAAAGTGAAAAATAATATTAAAAAATTAGTTCGGGGTAAAATTGTCAGGTGTACCAGTTTGGGGTTTTTTATGGTCAAAAAAATAGTTCGGGGTAAAATTATCATAAGTGTACCAGTTTGGGGTTTTTTGTGGTAAAAAAATAGTTTTGGATAAATTTATCACAGGTGTACCAGTTTAGGATTTTTCGTGGTATTAACCCTAAAATATAAGAGGTCCTGTTTATTTTATATATTGATAAGGATTTTTTGGTGCAGTACAATAGTGTTGGAAGGTTTAGACAATTCTTTCATCTCATGTTTTTCAACGCACGCATTTACTAAAGTTTACGACGTTATTTAACATATTAATTTTTCATAGCCTCTTTAGCGATCGTCATGTGACTCGATCTTGTAAGCGGGTCCTAAACTTAAATACGTGATCGTTTTCAATTAGTATTTATATTTATACAATCTTTGTCTTCTTGCCAGGAGAGAGATCTTTGTGGCGTGTTCGGTAACTTCTCAAAAGCGTTACTAAATTTTAGAAACATAGCATCAGCGCTCAAATTTAGTAAGAACGTTCATTTGATGTTTCGAAAAATTCAAACACCAAACAGTATTTATCTGTGAAGCTTACCAACGCGTTGAAGTTACTAAGTCCCATACGAAATTAGATATTCTTTTCAAAATTACCAATTATTCCGATAATTTGTGAAAATTTATTTGCGCAACTAAAGTCAATTAACTCTTCTTTGAAATTTTATAAATTTCGATTAGCAACATGTATTTGATTGTTTCGAATTTAACAACTTTTGAATTAATATAATAACATTTGTTTGCACAACCTACCAATGTTTTAAAGCCACCGAATGTTATATGAAATTACCGACTCTTTTTTGAGTCAACATACCAACTTTTAGTAGATTGTTTCAAAGTACCAGCAGTTCCAAAAACTTACCAACAATTATTTGTGGAGTTTACCAACGGTTGAAAGTGATTTTTAATGTGATATATTGACACCTTTGAAAATCACTAACTTTTCCAATAGTTGGCCAATTTTTATTTGTTGAGCTTAAGTTGCCAACTTTTTTTTTTTGATAAAATTACCAACTCTTAATTTGAGTCAGTTTTTAACATTTATTTACCAAAATCTATTTGATAAATTATCATCGATTCAATAATTTATCCACAATAATTTGCATAATTTTCCAACTTGTAAAACTACTAAGTATTATATCAAAATAACCAACAATTATGTGAGTCCACTACCAAACATTTATTTAATTGATTTGAAAGTACCAATTCTTTACCAACATTTGTTGGGATTTCACCAACGGGTAAGGTTACCGACTCACGTAAGAAATTAGAAATTAGCAACCACTTTTAAATTTAGCAAAAATTTTGATAATTTACCAACAATTATTGGAATGCAGAAACATCACCGATCAACTAATAAATTCTAACTTTCTGAGCTGTCATTGCGATGGGAAATGTCCCTGATGAAGGAATTGATGTTGGTCTCAGTCGATCCATCTTTTCCGATCGCTCGCCGGCATACCTCCTGGAGATGCTTGGCCTGTCTCCTGATCTCTCTGCTTTCATCGTCTTCCAAATCCATGAACTTCCGCACGAGCCCCGTGATCTCAGTGCCCACCGTCCATCCGACCTTCCAGTGCTCAGCGACTCGTGTTGCATTCTGGCCTTGATCATAAGCTATGGGATATGCGAGCAGAGGAACTCCGGCGAAAATAGCTTCCCAGATGGAATTCCATCCGCAGTGCGTCCAAAACCCGCCAACCGACGAATGTGACAGCACCCTCAACTGGTCGCACCATGGCACGACTATTCCCCTATCGCCACACAACTCTCTCAACCTTGAGGCTTCCTCGCGCCCCACCCACATGAAACGAACGCTGCTGTCGCGCAAGCACCCTGCAATCTCATCCATCTTAGAGCTGGAGACCGAGAGGAAGCTTCCGAGAGAGATATAAAGGACAGAATCGCTAGGCTGACGGTCCAACCACTTAAAGTAGTCGGCATCATTCAAACAAGAGTCATCTGCAAGTCGAGAGAGAGGGATGGCCGGACCGATGGTGTAGACTGGGAACGACAAGCCAGCTTTAAGAGCATCGACAGCTGGATAATCCACCTCATACACGGTCGCGAGCAATAGATACTTAGCCTCGCGTGCGATCTTAAATGCTTTGAGTGCTTCTTGTAGGACTGGATTATTCCTCCCAGACTGGATCAAGTCTGCTAAGCGTATCGGAGGAAGTCCGGGAATGTAATCGACCCGCTCGTCCCCTCTTTCTGTGACAAAGCAAAGACAAAGCAGAGGACATCAAATAGACCCAATCTTTGCGCACATCAACGGCTGCTTTTACTAGTTTCTTCGATGTACTGGGATTCAGACGCAGGTGGCACACTCTGTATCTGCTTAAGCAGTCACCTTCATACAGGAATTCCAATTCAACCGAACTGAACTGAAAGCATTTCAAGCTTGCCATCTTTATTAGTTGGTCATCTTGTCCATCAATACAATAAACTAGATCTTCAATCTAAAAATCTGAGATGCTGAAGAAGCTACGGAACATGCATTCTGTTATGTGAATAGCCAATTGAAAAGTTTGAGGAACTATTGTGAAACTCATTGTTTAGATTTAGCCTAATAGATTTTGCCAATCACAGGTCAAGAAACATGCAGTTCCCCTTGGAAAACAGAAGTTCTCAAAACAAAATTGGTTATCCAGAGTCCTAAATTGGCCCTAAACTGTTCTGTCCTTTTAGGCCTGCCAAGCATTGTACAACGTGAGACTGTAATTGCAGTGCCAGAACTCGGTGACAACAATGATAAGACAACACGGAGACTTGAACTTACCAGACAAATCAACCGGGAAGTGACCGTATCGTTCTAGAAGATTGAAGTGATGGAAGATAGAGAAACCCCAGGCCGCCATCGGCCAGAACGATGCCACTGGAATATTTCTCCGGTTCCCCGCGTGGACAGCACATTTCAGGAAAGTGTCGGCCAGGATGAGAGTTGGCGAAGGCTGGAGCCGATCTAGCAGCTCCTCGAATGGATCTCCCATCATCGTGAAAACAGCATAGATGAATCCAGAGGAGTGCTGAGCCTGGACCAGCTCCGACGGGAGCACGTTTGGGATGGTGGCGAAGGATATGTTGGCGGGCTTAGGCTCAGAACCGATGAAGCCAAGCCACTCCTCTGTCACAACGAAGGTGATGGTGATGTCTGGGACTCTGGAGGACAGAATCTTGCAGAAGTTCATCATGGGGTTGATGTGGCCTCGACCCGGACACGGCATCGCCACCATGTGGAGGCTGCCGGCGGCTGCCATGGCAGAGGTTGACGACAACGGAGCTTCCATTTTCTTGGAGTTCAATCAAGGTTCTTGAACTTGGTTGAGCTGCCTCATCGATCAGCGGGTTGGGAAGGTAAAACGATGGAGTTGGCGTACGCCC